AGGGCAGGATGTATATTGATGTTAATCCGGTCGACTTCTGTCAACCAATGAAACTGAAAGTCACGTGATTATGTCATCGGGAAAATGAAGTTCCGACACTTTCAAGGAAGTACGTTATTAGGAAATATAGTGAAGTAATGCATTGTCGTTGCTTTGTGCTCGACACCCTGCAGAAACATAGGATCGTCTGTGAGACAATCTGGAGGGGTATCTGAACAGTAGAACGTAGTTGTGGCGTATGCCGTTGTCGTGCGAAAATATACCGCCCGTTAATGGTCTGAGGTACTAATACTGAATATATTTTTGCTGAAGTGACATACCTCATGACCACAGGCACGGTGTTGATCTCACACATTGGCACTCTTGTCAGACTGGAGTTGATCAGCTTTCTCTGTACAGTCTACATCATCTTTCGGAGTCGAGCGAGTATTGAGCCATGGAATACCACCGGCCAGAATGAATGCCAGAGCGCTACCAGCTATTGGAAGATACTGTATTATCATTGTTAGTAACCCGATGAAAGTATAGATAGAACTGGGGGTCAACTGACAAATATAGTCGTAATGGCTTTATTGTATGCATTGATGATATCGAATAAGCGGTCCGGAAATGCTTGCACAGCAACTTCCCGCACCCTTAGAGTTCCAGCATTCAAAAGCATCTCAATCTGCTTACTGTTCAACGACGCTTGAACTTGTAACTGCTTTTTCAGCTCGTTCTGGAAGATAGCGCCTCCTATGCTTTGCATTACTGCACTTCCGAAGTATTGCGAGAAGAGGACAGTCGCTATTCCAACTGGAATGTACCGCGGTCTGTCCTTCAATACAAGCTGAACTGTAAGCAAGGGAACCTGGGCTGCAAATCCACAGCCCAGGCCCTGAAAGATCTGATAACCAATCCAAGATGCAGATGATGAGGATGCAGTGAATGTCGTATATAGACCGTTGGCGATGCAGAGAAAGACAGAGCCCACCAAGAGCCACGGGTTGTAATATCTAATGTGTTTGGCTATAGTTATAAAGCGTCAGTAGATTGTACATAGACGAAGCAAATCATCTGTAATTACCTGAGATTCCACAGACAAGAGAACCAAAAACCTGAGTGCACACCGAAGGTAGAAGCATGACTCCGCTGCGGATAGGGCTTGCTGACTTGACGATCTGAAACCATTCCGGTAGATAGTAGACCGGAATGACGAATGAACCCAGAAACAAAAAGGCAAATGCAATACTTAACAATGTGAGCCTGTCCCACAGAAGTACAACGGGGACCATGGCCTCATCGCCCATGTAGCACTCCCAGCAGATGAAGATTGTCATCGTCACGGCAAAGCCGACAAAAAGTCCGATCACGGTCGCCGAGTTCCAGGAATATTCATCACCTCCCCACTGCAACGCCAACATCACCATTATGACGGAAGGTATGAAGAGAGCGCATCCGAACAAATCAAGTTGTTTCAAGAAGGGCACACCTTGTGTCCCAGTGTTTTGAGGAGGATGAAAAAACAAAAGCAACGTCACGACAGTCACTGCTCCTGCTGGAAGGTTGATGAGAAAACACCACCTCCAGGTATGTTCAGCTAGAGCGCCTCCGATGATTGGAGCGACAACAGTCCCTAAAGCATAGAGAGATGTCACCAGCCCAGTAAACAAGGGGCGCTGCTCCGGAGTTGTTATCAGCGCAATGACTGAGAGACCACCCGATACTACCCCAGACCCTCCAGCACCAGCAACTGCTCTTCCGATTATGAACATCTTGGAACTGTTTGCCAAACCGCATATCAGAGATCCTAGAAGAAATATGCCATAGAAAGAGAGGTATGTCCATCGCAATGACAGCAACGAAGAGAGCTTGCCACTGATAGGTTGAAGAGCGCACATCGTGAGTGGATAGGTAGCTCCATACCAGCCGATGTCTGTTGTAGCATGGAATTGAGTCGTTATCGAGGGAATGGCCTTGAGAGCTGATCTTAGTTACCCGAAGAATGACAATGAAAGGAGCGAATTTTAGTGAGCTTACAGTAGCAATGATAGAAACATCCAATGATATCAGGAACGTGGCTATCATGATACCGGTCAAGATGCTGTACAGCTTCACAGAACCAACGGCATGTGTCCTGCACATCACGTCAGGTGAATTTGAAGACATCAGGGAGAAGTCTGATCATGATCAGAGCGTTAGATTTGGTGTTCATGGCAATCACTTTTTATGCTAACCCTATTCCCTGACAGTTACTGAATTGGGTAGTCTACTGGTAGGGTAGGCCGGCGCCGGTTCCGGCCCCGTGACCGATTCGAGGCCGACTCCGATCCGAGCCGTCATTGTCTGTCTCCGACACTCTACTTCACCATTATTCACCACCCTAGACCAAAGTATCTCTCAACGCAGAGTGCAATGCATTCAACAACCCCGTCAAGGCGGCATGCGTGTATACGATGTATCCAATTGAAAGCGAAATGCGTCTTGATTGACAATGGACGGTGTCAGCGATGTGCGCGACTTGATCGCCATTGTACTTTCCCAGACGGCTCGCTCAGGAATACAAGCATCAGGTTCGCCCATGACTACTTACACTATGCCGGTGCAGGCTGTTGGGTAACATTGTACTCCTGTCTCCAGAAATAGCCGCATTGATACCATTCAGCGCCAGGTCGACAGACTTGCTGCTCAAGTGCATGCTGATAAGGTATCTACTCCGACCTGATCCGGGCCCTTGCCCCCCGGATTAATATACATTGACTTTTCTTCGATAGGGTTCGGAAAATAATCTGACACCCGTATCAGAAACGCAAACCTGTTCTGTGAGCCCCAAGCCCAAATGGCGTAACGATTTCATTGATAGGGAACTTCTCAATATTGCGGAAGGTGAAGAGCTCCTCCTGAAATTCCGCACCGACTTGATGCCTCTGTTCCCATTCGTCCTTATACATGAAGTAAACTTTGGTGAATTGCGGGAGAAGTCTCCCTTTCTCCTATTATGCATAATGTCAGCTTGTCTCGAGCACAAGCCCGCTCTTCAGCAGAGGTTCGAATTTGAAGTTCGATCTGTGATATCTACCCGTATAATGATGAATATGGAGAGGGACATGGACATACTTCGTGGCTTATTGGTTCATATCGCATGGTCTCATTATCATTGGCGCAACTACCATACCCAGGTGTATATGCTTCTTCAGATGGCTATGGCTATCGTTGTTGACTTGGGGCTTGACAGATACGACAATCTCAGAATGCGACACATATATGACCATGGGGAAGACATGGAGGGTTCACAGAGGGAACAAGTACTCTGTCTGACCCCTGATGGGCAGCGCGCATTTTTAGGTTGTTATTATCTATGTTCCAAGTGAGACTTTCGCAATTGGTACGGGGTATCCACTAACGAAATAAGGGCCTCAATATTCCGGCGACAGCTGAACATGAAATATACGGACTGGGTCAATCATTGTGCCGAATGCTTAGGGCAGAGAGCAGAGTACCCCAGTGACCAGTATATCAAAGCACTGATTGAGATCCAATTGCTTGCCCGTAAATCAGAGCTCGAACTCGAAAACCCTGCTCATGCAACAAACAATGACGAACTGTTTCAGTCTATTGACGTACTTGAGAATAAGATTGAGCAGCTTTTTGTACAGAACAAAAAGTGTAATACCTGTATGCTTACCTGACACTATTCAGCTTCGTCATTCACTTACTTCAATAGGGGCGCTGCGATTGGAGCTGAATGCGACTCCCGCAATTGTTCTCGGGCATGCACTTAGCCAAAGAGATAGACATCACCAGTATAATCAACGTCGACTGCTTCGTATTGCGCGTTCCGCATTCAACATTGTGACAGTATTCCTCGCAACGCCGACCTCAGTCACACCCAATCTTCCTATGTTCAGCTACACCTCTATCTGGTACGGCCTTCTTGTTCTATCGAAATTGAGCTTGCTTTCGGATGCCGCGAAAGAAGACAATTCACTCGAAGTTCATAGCAGAGATATTCACAACCTTGGCCTTGCAGCTATGCAGAAGATGGAGACGATATCTCGCGGCAAGGATGTTTGGGATAATTGCCGTGCAGTGATTGGGTCCATGCTCTCATGGCTAGAAAAAAGTCGCACAAAGTCTAAAGAAATACAATTACATAAAGAATCATCAAGGAAACAGGAAGTTGAGAACCCCGATCTATTGCCGGAGCCAGTACCTGAAGATTCCCCTCTAGTCACAGTGTCCGCTGTGACCGAAGATTGGGATGCTACAGTATGGCACCAGATGCTACAAGATCTGACATGGATAGGAGGAATCCCAGTGGAGCAGCAATCAGCTGTACATTCATTTCAGGGGCCTTGAATTTATCACCCCTTCCACTGAATGATATATTATGATCGACTGAAAGGGAAGCGTGCATACCTGAGTAGGAGTAGTAGTTGGAGAAGTATGCCACCACCGCACTATCTATAATGTAGCCTCCAGCACTGGAAGACTGTGCGCATTAAATGCATGGTGCCCGGACAGCTTAAAGTCACTTGTATGTTTTCACTTGCCCCATACCACAGTCTCCGTCACAGCCAACCATCAGTCATAATCACTGTTGTGACGTTCTGATAGGAGGCTCGGGTGGTTTGAGAAGGCCGAGTGTGAAAGCCTAGAGCTACTATTAGTTCAAAAGCTGTGGAAAGCCATGACGAGAGGGACTTGGTTATTCTGGAGATAAAGGACTATCTACCCTGAATGGAGTCGTCACTACTGAGATATCGGGAGTGGCAGCCTGTGTATCCGGTAAGCTCCGCCCTCAATCAGTGAATTTCTCTCAAACGTTGCTTGCCAACTTTCTACAGAGGGCCAGCTCCTTTCTGCATGGCTGCGGAACAAATATTAGATCATGTGGGGGTCATGCGAGGAGGTATAGGAGGCCCCAGCCTCGAATGGAGTTATCGTTTATTGCTTGTCACCCAAGGGGTTGCGGACAATATAGAACTTCGATGGCCTTTGCACCACCAGAACCAGCAGCCATGACAGCTATCAGCCTTCATGAGGTGCTCTTTGTGGATCAGGTCAGGAAGTCACCGGTATCTTGTATTTTCCGCACGATATGGTGCGGGAGAGATTGTGTCTTGAAAATGGTAAGTGTCATGAAGCAGTCGGCCTAGTTCTTGCCACGGCTATTGACCCTTTGATTACACGTAGTATCACTCTCCACAGCCATTACCTATCGGACGTCGACCTCGCCCACGAAATCGCGAGACCAATCCATTCGAGTGCGAGAGCACAGCCTTGATGCGACTACGAGAACATGGCTTCTGTAACCGAGGAGATATCCCAGATTTCTATGGTCTAATCGAACACATAAACCCAGTTCAACATCTACCACATCTTCAAGACTTCATCGAGGATACCTTGTTTGTGAACGCAGTTTTAATGGAGTATATACCAGATGTTCACCCAATTGATCTATCGAATTACTCCGCAAAACGGCTCCACAAGCTCCGGCAGATACTGTTTGAGATTCACCGTGCTGGCGTTTACCATGGGGATCCGTATCCTCGCAACATGATGGTTCAGGTGAAATCTGATAGAGTATTATGAATGGATTTCAACCGCGCACAGACATTCAAGTCCGAGTCGATTAAACAATCTCACCTGGATTGGTTGGAACGTGAACAAAGAATGATGGATGAGTTTGTTGATGGCCTGGTTAGTCTCCGATGCGAAGCCCTTCTCCTTTTCTTATCAAAGCCTAACCCAACGACGGTGCAGACAGCCGATGCTAAGCTTGGGAGGATTCATGAGGCCTGGATTTGCTACTATGAGTATGTAAATCAATACCTCGGTAGTATATCCAACGGACTAATATATCGCAACAGAAGCTTCAGACCCCCACGAAATGAAGGGAAGGAAGTGTTGTAAAACAAAACATAAGGGGGCTATAGCGACTGCACGGGCTAGAAGGCTCGAAGTCACTGCTTGAACAAGTTTATTCTTTGGTGGAGGTGCAATCACCATTGGTGCCCCAGGAATCAACGAGTGTGGGATTACCTTCGGAAGGGAGAAACATTGAACCGACAAGGCAGAATCTTGATTTGGTAAGTTCGCGATTTCCCAGGCCCCCCACTTCTGAGTCTAACCCATTAGAGTTATTTGATTCCATAGTTCATTGGGAGTTTGAAGCCAACAATTGACTTTCCCCTAATGCAATGCCTTGTTGAACATGGCCTATGGCCCTTTGAAATGATATCAAAGCATACTATTTACTGTCATGGCAGCGATACACGGTCACTGAATGCCCAGGAGCTGAATGAATACACTCTCGCGAATTACTTACCCTTTATATACTAGGTTGATCCTAGGTATACTAAGTCAAAGATCAACCTGCTAGGCGAATGATCACCTTGTTGCTTACTCCTATCTCTGCCTCCGCTCTGATGGCTGACATTGGTCCGTCATGATAAACTCTGAGTTGAGCTGCCGAATACGAGGTCGGCTGACCCCCACTTCTTCTTCCACGCAGGCATCAACAACTTTCTCGTCATCATCATCATCATCACCACCATAGTCTGCGCACCTCCCTATCATCTTGCCCTGCATCTCCACGACCACAGTCCCCAACTGACGGCAATTCACCAGAATGCTTCGCAAGAAAGAAGTTTACACCAACATTATCTCCCTCCCCTCCAATATCCCCCGTCAACTAGCCATCGACATCCTCCACAGCCACGGCGAGATCATCTCCCTCAACCCCCTCGTCATCTCCCACCACCCCATCAAAGCCCCACGCAACGCCTCAGCAGACGAGTACTACTCAACATGGTACGAGATTACTGAGCGAGTGCGCTACGTCCCCGGCACAATCAGCTTCAGAGGCTGCTTCCACGACGAACCCTGGGGGCTGAAAACCCACACCTACGCACCCATGGGCGTTGATCTGCACAACACATATCGCATTGTGGAGGACCCAATCAACGACCCGTCACTTCAACTCGCAGTTACAGAGTCCGTGAGGATTAATAAAGGAGGACTGTGTCTGCGCGAAGACGTCGAGATCGAATGCAACCTAACACTGATTTCGTTCGTGAAGAGCCAGCTGCGCGCCGCATCCAAGGTATTAGTGGATCGCCTGATCAAGAAAGCCGAACTCATTGACGCAGGTGTCTTGCATGGTATCATGGAAGACGGGGTGCTCAGAACGTATAACCCAGCGGACCGAACACATACAGCCGTGATGATGCAGCCGGATGAACGGTCACGACGATCGTCATACCAGGTGCCCATGTCGCCGAGTGAGTATTCACGGTCGGAGTCAATGACTTCGCAGACGCCCTATGCCTTTGCGCAGCAGTATCGGCAGGGTCGTAAGCAAGAATTTACGGCGGAATTACCAGCTGATACGTACTATCCCATGCCGGGGGCGGGGGAATATAAAGTACCCCCAGATGGAGGATATCCGGCTGAACTGCCAGCAATGAACGAGAGGCCTGGAGGATAGTGCCCTTCGATATAATATTATGGAGACACTCGCGTCTCATAAATGATTATATATCGTGGAACTATTCTGGATGAACATTTCCGCATATTCTACAATGATACCCACTGTCCTTCGAGCAGATTTGCGGCGCCACATCTCTTGTGTGTCTGAACTTTACATACAGTCCTCCAAAACCAACTGCTGGCAGACCCTGCATTAGCCCAATCCTATACAAAATACACTCGATAGAGACCTTTCAGCCGACGACTCATAACCCGCGTCGTACTCATCCTTCTCACACAGTAAGAATATTTACACCGATACAAGTGACTATTCACCATGCGTGCATGTCAAGAAATAAAACGACGCGATTGTCTAACACTGCTTCAGAGGGCGGCTCCAGGAGCGTTGGTATGCTCCGTGGTTATTATCCGACATTTGAATGCATGGATCCATTGGTGATGTTTCAATGAAGTATCGTGCTGAACTTGCAGGATAGGAGACATTTGTTGAAAGAATGCACGCGCACACGCAATATTGCATAGGAGCGTCTTTTCATACCGGCTCTATCGCGGGAATAATTCGATATGATAGCACATAAAGACTGTGACATTACTTTATTATCATATATCTCACATATCCACTCATCTTCTTCTTCTCCTTTTATAAGAAGAGAGTATCCATGATGTATTAAGCGCTCTGCAGCCTACGATGAGCCGTATGTCTTCCCAACTAGCCAGCTTGTTCATCGTAATTTAACCCTACCTACCTCAAAAAGCGCGTAGTGGATTACTGCGACATCCCAGACACTCGTAATAATTGCCGAGCTATCAAAAGACATGAACCCATTCCTACAACAAATTAAGAAAATCTTATCGATATCATATAACATGTCTCCATCAGAATATTATGTCATACTAAAATGTAAGTCAAGCAATAATCCACTTCGAGCCCCTATTCTACCAGAACCCATCGTTCTTTTTATATCCAGATCCTGTGCTACTGCCGACATGTCGGTCCAGGTTTTCTTGGCGGTTCATTTTTCCAGAGGGCCGGGGGTTGCAGATGGAAATCAAAGGGGTAGAATTAGGCCCTGTTATTTGCTGATTGACATCTGCTCCACGGGATATCAATTTAGCAACCGTGTCGAGTTGCAGATGTTGACAGGCGATGTGAATCCCGGCTCCCCACCCCTCTGTGACGCTATGAATATTCAAGTTTGACTGGGATAAAAGCATATCAATGAGCTCTGGTGGTCGCTCCAAGACCAAAGCATAGAGAAAAACTGTCCATCCTTTATCAGATGCCTGGTTGATGTTAGCACCGGCCCGAATAAGCGTTGCAACGCACTCAAGCTCATTGCATCGGACAGCGGCCGCAAGAGCAGTGTCCTTCTCATTGTCTTGTGCATCAATATCCAGCACATTGCGATATTCAAGCAATATCTTGAGAATGTCTAATCGCCCTTTAATTGCAGCCTGATGCAAAGGAGTCTGTCCCCCGGGGGTTGTGTCTGTCGATCTAGCCCCAGATTCCATTAAGATGCGGACAGCTTCTTCATTGGGAGTTGTTCCGCAAGCATCAAGGATGGGACTCCACCCCGCCTCGTCCCGGTGGTGAATGTTCACACCTCGCCTGATGAGCACACGGATAGAATCCACTTGGCCTTGGCTGGCGGCCTTGTTGATCGCGGTGGAACCGTCGCTGCTTACCAGTTCCGGTTCGGCTCCCGCGTCCAAGAGGAGCTGCAAAATTGAGACGACCTCGATGGCGAGTTGCAGCATTGCAGTCCCCTGCGCGTTCTTCTCTATGAGTGGGGAGCCTTCTTCGAGCAGGAGTTGCACGACTGAGTCATGATGCCCTTCAACGGCATGAAACAGTGCATTCTGCTTTTTCTCATCAACTAAGGCAATGTTTGCCCCATGCGACAAGAGCCACCTGACAAGCTCGAAATCCCCAGATGCTGCAGCATACATCAGAGGTGTCATAGCACGGTACCAGCAGTCATCGACGGCATTGACATTGACCGGGTTAGAATGGTTAACTAGAACATCCAAAATTTCAAGCTTGGCATCCAGTTGCGTCGTCTTCTGGGACAGAAGCACTGGAAAGGCAGGCCGGTGGAGCTCGTGGTTGGGATTCGCACCGTGGCCAAGGAGCAAGCGGACACATTCTGGATCTCCTGACTCGCAAACAGCCAGCGACAGAGCCGTGATATTGACACCCGGGCCCCTCAGATTAGGATCAGCCTCATTGTCTAAGAGAGATCGAATAGTTCTGGGATAGCCATACAAGGCAGCAATACATAGAGGTTGCCACCCTCGCTCAGCATTGTTGCCGTCGAATGGGAGGTCTACGCTGGCGCCGAGCTGTACCAGAGTTTCCACTGTCTTCCACAAACCTCGGGAACATGCCGCGTAGAGGGGTGTGTATGGTCGGGGCGCATCCAAGAGTTTGTGTTGGACAGCCGCGATTGCCTGGATGGTGTCATCAGCCCCTTCTGCAGCTGCCTTGAACATGATGCCAACATGACAATCCATAAGAATTTCAATGTCAGCACCCCCTTTCAGTAAGGTCTGTACAATCTGGCAATGGTCGAGCCTGCATGCTAGGTACAGCGGAGAAGGATAGAAGATGCTAGGATTCGGGGAAGGATCGGGGTCCATCCCATACTTCAAAAGGGTATCCACCACGCGTCCCATGTCTAGAAAAACTGCTCTCCATAGAAGCGAAACGGATAAGGAATCATGGGACTGGTTCAGGTAGTGGAGAGCAGCATCTTCATCCCCTACCCGCATGGCCTCAGGGAGCCCACCTACCCTGACAGGCAGTTCATGCCCACTTTGACCTAGAAGATCATGAAGCCCAAAACTCTGGAGCCCCAATGTCAGAAGGGACACGCCTGCAGGGTCCAGATCGCACAATTTCGGCCGAGAAAAAGGGTTCTGCATGGCCCAATAAACTTTCATCCAAGTGCTCAACGGTCCATTGGGCTCTAGCAAGATTGGTGCAATTTCTTGAAGTGCTAGTGGGGCCTTCGATAGATGATATGGGAACGACTCAGTCGCATAATAGACTATATCTCGACCATCTGACACCAGTGGTGGAGTGATATGCTCCGTTGAAGACCGGTACCTCTCTTGATATTTATTGTAGATACTTAGGAGCTGCCTTTGAATCCTCGCAGAAGTCAGAAAACTATACAAGAACCGACAGGTCCATTGAGGCCCCTCCGACCGGATATCAGTCCATAAATATTTACCATCGCGTGCGAAAACATCCAAGGTCTCTTGACGAATGCGGACTTGGTTCTGATCAGGTTCCAGCAACCCATTCATCCAGGTGATCATATCTGACTGATCTGTCCTGGATTCGTCATTCATGTCCGGCTGTTTGGCTTCTGACTTAGAGTGATAGCGACAGAGCATCGTCAATTCCTGGGATGTCAGTGGCCGATATCCACACAAGATCCATGTGAGTGTTGAGCGAAGCCAAGTGATATCTGGGATAGCCCATAGAATGTCATTGAGGACACTCGCAGCCGTGCTGTGTACAGATAGACGGCTGAAGAACTGATGAAATCGCACATGTGTCCGTGATGATGGTATTTCGGGCCATCCCGTATAGGACGAGATAATACCAACGATGATACTGAGAACATCATGATTCATCGATGAGAGTTCCCTTAAACGAGCTTGCATGTAAGCTTTTCCGTGCCCACAGGGACACAAACGCGATATAAGCATTTCGCTGCCACAGTGCTCCTGTCCACAGTCATCCGGCTTGTTCAATTCTACCCTATAACAGTGTAGGGTCATGTTAGGAGCACTGAGCTGGAGCTCTTCCTTCAAGGCGGCGGGTCTCCTTGCTGTTATGAGAAGCTTGGGACACATGTCTGTAAAGCCATAGGCTTTGGCAATGGTCTTCCAGTATCCCTTTCGACTTTCGGCAATATTACAGTCGTCAGCATTCTGTAGGAACAGCATTGTACTTTCCATATGATCTCGCAGCATTAGACACAAGATATTTTGCAGATCCTTGGTGGTCCACCCGTGCTGCAGCAAACCCTGGTTTTCCAAGAGCCAGGTAGTGAAGTTGGGCACGCCTTCGGCGAGGCGCGAAAAGCTGTAGACCAGAAGGGTACTAACCATGGCGTCCATCGAGTTACGCGCTCGATCATGGCGAGAGAAAGAGAAAGAGTGTACTTCGGCGTCATCTAGGTTCTTGTCAAACCGCTCCCGTTGCCATGCTAGAATAACCTGCTCAGCTGCCTCGGTAGTCAACCGCTGGTCTTCACCGTGAATATACAATTTCTGGGGGCCTCTGGATGTCTTCCACAGTTTATACTCTGAGCTTCTAAAAATTGGATGTGAGTCTATGACTCGTGTTGACAAGAACTGATGGTGCGGAAGGGCCATTGATAGTAGGGATTGTTCAATGGCAATGCGCGATGACGATCGCTTCCAGCTGCATGATCCATTGAAGAGAATGTCAGACAGCCTAGAGTTGAGCGGGCCATGCGCTTCGCCGGTGGGCTCTTCGGGCAGAGCCAACTCAGTACATATACCTAGAACTGCGGTGGATTTATCAAAGACCTAGAGTCAATCCTCAAGTCAGAACCAGTATACCTCACATAGACCTGTGTATAATGCTGATTGATGATCACTCACTGAATCAATCCTTCCCGGTGTCTCCGGATTGGCATAGATGCTAATTATCCGAGTGCGCAAGGTGATGCGGGAACTAAGAAACAGACCGGTTGATTCCATGGCTGTATCCGCCAACGCCCTGATTGAAGTTAAATTGATGAGATGACCCCATTTTTCGGTTTTGTGTGTCTCTAGAAACTTCCATATTTGGGCATCGAATGAGTTGGCATCCGTCCTGCGGTGGAAACAGCCTGCGAAAATCTGTCACAATGTCAAAATAAGACCTGGTGCTCGCGATCACTCCAACGGGTCCATATTCAACTCACAAATCTCACAGTATCGGTGAATATACTAGTCCAGACTGTTTCATGAGAACTGGCAAGCGCAACAGCCTGTACATCCCTTGTATCAGAATAATATCCTGCTACCAGCAGACTGTTAAATGTGCTTCAGGGGAGAACCGACTCTTTCCACAACCAAGCTCCCCAGCTCATAAGCGATGAATATGATAGACCGACTGTAACTAGCCTGCCTCATGTAATGTCAGTATTTGTTGTCCTTCTGTGAGAAGTGGATACGTATAAGTCTGAAATTCTTAGAACACCTACCCCTTCGCCTGACCATCGAAATTGAAGTAACCCAGCTAACAGTTGAAGTGCCTCTTTCTCAACGTAGTGGCCAGTCAGGTCTCCAAAGAGAAAATGACTCGCATTGCTTTGATAAATGAATTCTCGTCGTTCGGTTTGAGAGGCGAAGTGATCATTGAAGACAGCTTCCAAGCTCATACGTTTCGGCCGTGAGATTCCCATTACATGCACGATACTTTTTGATTGAATCTTAGTAGTTAGGACATATATTGCTGAAGGGAATTGTTCTTACTCCACATATTCCGATGAAGTGTCATCCTCGCTGGCCGCGTCAGGTGTAAATGTTGGTAATTGCCGGGAAAGTTCAAGGCCGTGGAAGGCCTGCCCTATCTTGAATGCAACAGGGTGCTTCGATGACTCCCGCATCATCTTCTAACGCACATACGAATAATCAGTCCTTAAGTTGGAGAAGAAAGAAGGATAGCAAGCAAATCCTGGATGTGTTGCCTCTTAGTCATTCATGGACGACAATTTGTAACTAACTGACGGGAAGTCGCGTCCGTGTAAACCTTTCTTCCCGAACCAAATTAGCCTAAGATTACTAGAGAGGGAAAACTAAACCAGAGGTATTACCAGTTCAGTCTTACTTACTAGCATACACAATAGCCCGATCCCAAACATGCAACATGGGAAGGGATACCCAATTTGACGCAAAATATCCGATTGGCGGGGACCCTTCAAGAGGGGGACATGCGAGCCTCGCAAGCTAATCCAACACCCTAGGCATTTGCTCCATTAGGGTATCACTCACATGGTGTTGCCTTGGAACACACCAGGGGTCAATCATAGGCGTGTGGTAGTCATAAGGAGAGTCTCCCCTACGTGTCCTCCCTCGGAGGCTTCTAGCAATTCAACATCAAATCAACCTATCGCTTTAGTACGCAAGACCCGGAAGAGTGCTGAAAGACGATGGATGAGTCTTGGCTTTGATGACGAGCTCTGGCTGAGCGACCAGACTGAAGAGGAGGAATGTGGGTTTACAGATCCTCGTTCATTTTCCTTAGAGTTGACGTACCAAGGACCTGTTGGTGGTAAGTCAGTTTCTGACAATGGAAATCCTACGTCTCTTCAGATCGGTGACTTCCTGATTCCATTTCGCCTCATTCCCTGATGTGACTGACATCTCTGTAACACGGACGGACGGGAATAGACTTCCGGACTCGCAACAAACCAGGCCAGCTACAGAGACCCATGGTGTCCAATTTTGAGATGGGGCGACGATGCCTACCAGGTCAGCTGTCAGGCAAAGGCTATGATCCATGGCCGGTGGGGAGGGGGAGATCAGGACTCGTGCGACTGGGCCACTCTGTTGGTAAATGAGTTCCAATTCCATTCCTACCGTGGATGCCGACTCAAGGCAGCCGACATTCGCTTCCGATTCGAGCCGATACCAGGTCAATTAAATGAACTGTCTGTCGCTGAGATTCAGCCAAATCGTGTATTTAAAGTTGCACGCACCGAGCAATCCGAGCAATCCACAACCGGCCTTGAGCTTACGCTTGGGTCCCAGCCACTGGCAGGAGCTGTGAACACTTCAATCGCTGTCTCCAATTCGAACAATGTGGAGAAGGTTACAGTTCATCACACGGTTGTCACTGGGGACCGGCCTGCAGATATCTACGGCAGTCAGCATGAGGCACATTTTTCGCTGTCAGAAAATGTATCACAGCAGGACGGGATTCCTACGCGACTGAGAGCCTGTATCCTTTTGAAGCGGGGAACGGAGGATGACTTTGCTTGTGTTCCCTACATCCATGTCACTCCAGACTTCAAGACTTGGGTTGGACAGCTGTTCTCGTCTCGGGACAGGGATGATCCTATCCGATTTCGTCCCTCTGAGCCGGCGTTCGATCAGCTGGAAAAGGGGATTGTAGTTGACGCGGAAAATCTGGGAGCCACCAATCTAGATCGGCTGTGGGGTTGTACCATGTATACAACATGCAACGATGTTGTTGACTCATTGTAGGGGAAGGCTGGACGTAAAGAGAATGTCGTACCCTCAGTTCCCAGACCTTAAGAAGACAAACATAGCTTATTTTCAGTGTGAGCGTGGCCTGTATGGTGTTAGTGATGCTACTTTCCGCATAGCTAACCTAATATACGGGGATCATTTTCCCCTAATGGTAATTGTTGTGGTCCCTGCCTCAATATCACATAGTGTCTCTCTTAGTTCCCCGGCTATGGACTCCTTTGAGCTGGACGCTACATCTGACGATGCCACGTACAGTGAGGCCGAGTACGAGTGAGAAAGGTTGTCATGGGAGGAACGTATGAAAGACTTGACGGGACAATTAACGAATGGGGGGATATGGGAAGAAATGGAGTCAACAGTGAGCGGATTTCGCGATTATGATAACAGAGATGTCCCAACCATACTTCATCACCTGTCGAAGGACAAGTTTGCACATGGATTCTACGACCTTCCTGAGTCTACGCGCGACTGCATCCTTGATTCTCTCCTTCGAGTTCATCTGGAAGAGCAAAGCGCGACTGCAGACCACGTTCAGGCCAATACAATTGGGAAGGATAAGCACCCTTATCCCATTCTCACTATTGCCCTCGAACATAGCAATACTGGGTTCCTCAACACCATCGCGGCCCGTTTTCAGCACCATTTGCCACACCTTCTCAAGATCTCCCATACAGGTGATGGTCGCAACCCACTACACGAGGCATTTTCAATATTTTTTCGGTGGCAGAAGAATGTTGGTCGGTTCAAGGACTACAGCTACAGGCAGGAAAAGAGAACAGAGTTGGGAATGCTCACGCTGATTATCCAAAAGTGGGTCGAGCTGGCCCCAGATTCGGCCATCGCGGCAAAAGACGTTCATGGAAATACTCCTCTGCATTATGCAATGCATTATAACCTATGCTACTACTTGAACTCGAAAGTCTACCGACCAGTTGTCGTCGCTCTAATCGACAGGAGCCTCTGTCGCCGGATGCAGGCCGAGGACCAACTGAACGGAGTTGGCAAATCTCCCTACCTAATTTATCTCGAGAGTGAAGCCGACTTTGCTGAGAAGAAACGTACTTCATCGTCTTGGAAGCCTGATACAATGAAAACGACTTCTTGGTCGAAGCCAAATCGGCCGGCACTCGGACTCGAAGGGAAGAGGGCAGAAGGAAAAAAGACGGGTGAAGATACAGAAAGCAGAAAGACGCAGGATGGTTTGTTCAAGCCGCCCCAGATGCCTTCACATTCAGAGCTTCCCACAATCGGCAAGGTCACAGTGCCGCCTCATTCGACACCTTCTCGCACCCAACAAAACCCCCAGTGTTCCCAGGATAACAGCAAGGCTACAGGACCGGCGTCTACCCCACAGTTCCCATCGGCGATGCCGCGCTCAAGTGCGACCAAAGAGCTGACACCCAATCAAATACAGCAAGATAAAGCTGACGACAAAATCAGAAGGCAGGCTGCAGATTCAATTCGGCAGTATCTCAGGACGTGGTACATACGAAACATGTCCGACGCGGATGCCAGGAAATTGCTCTATGGCAATATCGCCTCAGGTAGGTAGGAAACAGTCGAAAATATCGTTCTGAATACTTGAGGAGTTAATGTTGCTGTTCGTTGCATTCTAGACAAGAGTTTGTACTTCGATGCCACTCACCTGAGAGGACGGGGGGCAGCGCAGATTGTCCAATTAATTTAAAAACTAACCCGCGCTGGGGGTTTCGAAGACACTCTGTCCTACGTCAGAATCCCCCAAGTGTTAATGCCAGACGGGCTCCCAGAGACTGCTACCATATCCAATACAACCAGCGAGAAAAGAGGAATCTATAGTGCATCTGGTTCCAAGAAGGCCCTGAGGGGACGCATCTCACTAATATCCGTCTTCGATGAGCTGGCCCTTGCAGGTGTACGGCAAATTCTACGGCTCCAAGTCGAAGACAACGGCGATGTCATGGCCCATTCAGACGCAGCTATTGAAAGGGCTATTACTGGTTCGGACCATCGTGGCGAGTTAACCTCCTTCGGTACTAGAACCGGGGCCTTGAATATAGAAACCTGGTATTCCTCTCCCTCATCTGGGTCAACCTGGACATTTCCCGGGCTCACAATACATACTAGGGATTGGCGAAAGCCAGACATAAACATTGAATTGATTCACGATGCAGAACCCAACGTAAAGTCCATTCACCTGCACTGGAGCGGTGGTCAGACTGTTCTTCGTGGGTGGGCGGACGCAATCCTAGTGCTTTACACGCAATTCAAGGAACTAACCTGTGTCTATCTGCATGCATATCAGGTACTAATCTTTGTCCTACGATATGAGTATGAGGACTAACTCCCACATCTCTTCATTAAAGGGATCTGAGACTAAAGAGCGAACAGACATCATGCTAAAGATATTTAAAGAAAAGGTAGAAAGCATAACAGAGAATAGAGTACAGGTGAAGAACGAATTCCATAAGGAAAGAGTGATAGACACACGAAAAGATGAAGAGACCTGTACTATCCCCAGCCATGGCGACTATACAAACGAGAAGCAGTATCTTTGGATAAATCGGCTGGAAGATTTTCGTGATGCGATGCTGGAGGTGCATAAAGTTTCTCCAAAAGTTGAAGCGGACTTATCGCGAGTGAAAGTAGGATGCCTGGCTTGCTTATGTTACTACTTAACCTGTCCTAACCATGTCAACTCTTCAGGTTGCCCTTATCGACGATGGCCTAGATTACGGTGATTTCGACGTTTATCCACACACAGAAGTGCGAGGGTTTAGCTGCTATCCACGCACTGGGCAGACCGAGCATCCATGGCACAAGTCGACCAACGGGCATAGAACTGCAATGGCCAATATGATCCTCCGCATAAATCCGTGGGTACATCTCTTGGTCATTCGAATTGAGGATGGCATCTCCTACGCGAATCCAGGATCGCCCTCGCGGACCATCCAACCCGACAGCGCTGCCCGCGCCGTCGAGGCAGCAATCAAGCTTAACGTCGATGTAATTTCCATGTCGTGGACCATACGCAAGCAATTTTCACAACTGCACAGCTCGCCCGTTGATCCTGGATCATTGGGGAAGAAGTCAATCGACGAGGTCGGAATTGAGCGACTGGAAAGGGCCATAAGGGAGGCGGCGGAAAACAATATTCTCATGGTTTGTTCTGCGGCGGACGATATAGAACTCCTCGGGAAGGACAATCTACCCTTCTGTGCAGCGGAGCACAATATCTTTCGCATCGGCTCCTGCGATTCTCAAGCGCAGCGTGACCCCATGACTGAAAACAGAACAACCATTTCCTATTTTCTCCCGGGGATTCAAGTCCCAGAAGCACAAAGACCACACTCCTTGAAACCAATTGTATATCATGACGGGTCTTCGATAGCCACTGCGCTGGCTGCAGGGTTAATATCTATTATCCTCCATTGCGCTCGTTGGGTAGACCAGTGTCAAGAAGCTCAAGAGCCCGCACAGAATGCCTCCAGTGAGAAAAATCAATTCCAGCAATTGGCAAAGAACCTTCGTATACACAAGAACATGCAGATCGCATTGAGAAATATTGCCAGATCACATGGGTCAGATGAGCCAGAAGATTCGAAACAGCTTCCTGTGTATCGTCTCTTTGCAGACACAACCAACAAGTTGAACAATGCCAAGGGGAGGCAAAAGGTTGAGAGGTTGGGGGATTTAGTCAGGTACCTATGTCATGGCATTGAGGCCTAATGAAATACTCTCAGGGCTTGAACGCGGCCCGGCTCAGTCCAGTCTGCCGCTTCAAGGGCTCGCCTGATGTTCGCGTAGTACGATTACCTCAATACTTTCAAAAGAGTGAATTATCGAAACACCAACAAACTCAACATACCACGATTTGCAACTTGCCCGCGACTGCCTGTCCGACCAACATATATATCACGAGTACACATTGATATGTATACCCCACATTTGCCTCAAAATTTCAAAGGCCTACCTAGCAGCCACTCTTTATTCTTCGCCAGCACCATTAGACGAGCCCCATGCCTTATACACAACATAGTCCAGCCACGACAGCGTAAAATTCTGAACCTAATCCCCATTCATAGGCACAGCATTCAGTTCAACCGTGTCCGCCCCCGACGGAGCAGCCGCAGCATACCAAAAGGGTCCACCACCACCGAAGAGCAGTTATTGACCACCATCAGCCAGGATCATTGCTGGGAGAGCCTTCGAGATGAGAGAAATAGCGAGCTACATATCTCGAACATGTACGTCCAGGCAATATCTTGGGAAAGAAGAGGAGTGTGAGATAAATCACGTCAATATTGGCAGATGAACCCCAATCCGAGGCATCAGCTTCATCCTCCGGAGTCGTAATGACACGGTTCGCATTAACTCTGAAGTAGCCGTCAAACCCTTCCACGTATCCCTTCCCATCAGAGTAGGGGATATCGCATGCAGTGACCTCCGCGGTTGTCCATTTGCCGTCTGTGGCAAGGCAGCCGATGGCATCTTGGTCGTTATCTGCCGAGTAGATCAGAAAGAAGCCGTTCCCTTCTGGAAGGGGAATTTAATAGAGGGCTGTGGCGGTGTTGACGAGGAGAGAGATGCCGGCGGCCAGAAAAGGGGTCATTGAACGCATGATGTAGGTATTCTTCGTGCTCTTGCAGCAGTAGCTAGCTTTCGTTGTGATAGTATGAGGGTTTGGTTTCGGTATACTCAGAAACGAACTTGAAATGGGTGGCTATTTATATTTGTGAAGACTTAGTGAACAGCATGCTGGTATGAGGCATTTCATGCGGTTGCCCGTGTGTCTGAAGTCTTTGGCGGATTGTGATGTGGGGATACATTCATGCAGGCATCTGGAACGTCTGTTTGACATGCATTTGTACAGGTGGTTAGTGATCGCCCGGATCTATCCGGATAGTTCGCAGAATCGTCCTGCGCTGATTGCTCAACATACTTGGTATGAGGTGGAATTCGTCTGTTGTTACTCTCGTCATCATTCAAATCCCGAATTCTGCAACGCTATCACCCTGCTTAGCACCATCACAGTGCATGAACTATTAGCTCTACGATAACTAGTTCGGATACATGTTCTTCAGCTCAGAGTAGATCTCGCTGGACTGAAGAGGGGAAGACACCATCGTCTCCACATATTTTGCTTATTCTAGTATGGCGTGCCAAACCTAGGAACGCCATGGTTGACTAGTATGTCCCTGACCACCATAGCTCATGATTTATGTGTATATAATCACACTACTGCTGAAGCCTGCATCAGACTGATTTTTAGGACATTAGGACCGCTCATCTTTCTCCGCAGTTATCTAGCAGCCTACATCTTTGATGCGCCTTTCACGAGACAGAACACCAAGCTGTCGAAAGAGCAAGGTCGAGCACCGCTCTTGTACCGTATTGTCAAGCAGACTGGCATTTATCCAGACTCATTAGGTAGTTACAATCAGTTTGCTATTATAGAAATGGCCTCGATAAGCACTTTTTACTTTCCGTAGAGGTTCGACTGCGAACAAATAATCATAATCTCGGAGTTCGGGATTATATCTATGTTACCAAATCAGATTTAGATTGCTCATTGGACAGTAGTAGGGAATTATGCTCACTTCATGTTGGAGAACATCAGATTTTTCTGCCAAAAGGTTCAAGTCTTGGGTCCAAAATACCAGGACTCTATCGAGAATTGGTTCAAGACCGGGTATCCTCGCGTCTTAAAGCAATGAAGATCGAATATCCCATTGCCACTTTCTATTTCGAACTGTGAAAGGCTCTGAATAACCGATAATAGTTGTATGTCGTTGCAGCTAGTGTGTCACTTTTGAACTACGGTATCCACAGCCATCTTTACTTACTCAATATGAGCATCGACGGACTTTTCTGCTCAAAAAAACATAGCGAGGTGGCCAAAGGTGATACTGTTATCAAACCTCAGGAACCTGTTTGCGTCACCCAGGTAATGGACCCTGTTGGATATCGTAGAGACATAGAAAAAAATAGATATAATACCACCGCAGATCATATCGCTCGCTCAATCATCAACCGCTGGCCATTCGACCATAAGCAATTATTGGTGGCGTGAGTGATCAACAGGTCCAGCCGGCATTAGAATGGCGCAAAGGCCCGAGTCTTCCCGTCCACTCACTGACCATTATTAGTCTAATCGTTAGGAGATTAGTACTGTTCCCAGTAGAGTCCGCATACAACGCTAATGAAACTACTCATGTTAGAACCCAAGCATATACGTACACGATATCTTAATTTATCTCGATTTTTGATAAGGCTGACATTCTTGTTTTGTGGCATTACTCATTTCGCACGCCAAATGACCCGATGTGCAATTTATCTTTACAGCCATTAACATAGCAGTCTGTACTAACTCTAAAATAACCCTAAAGAAGTCCACACTGTAAGTCCAAGAATATTCCCCCATTGTAATTAGCCCCTTCATATCACGAGATTTCCGAAGTCAAAGAACGCAGCATTCAAATATATTGCAATTAGGAATCTCAGCGTCAAAGAGCCGTTCTAGACATTTAAGCCTAATCTTACATATAACAATTGGACGGTCCGTTCGCCGTAAGCTGCCTCTTTATGTCACTGCCTAGACAATCCATCGCACCACTAAATTAGCCTCTAACAGTTCGCCCAATCGCCCAGTCAGAAACTTGAATCCATCGCTCTGATCCACTGTGGAACTGTACACAACCAAAATCCTTCGGGAGATGCCCGATTGATTATCTAGCTTAATGAGTTCTCCTGGCCGGAGATTGCTCGACCATGCTCCACTTTTGTGTGCATCAGTTCACATTATGTTTCGTCGGCACACCGGCGCGCGTAACGGGAGTGAGAGGTAAGGCAGCCCCATGCTTTCTTGTGTTTTTGCTCTAGCATAGTTGAGCAGGTATTCTGATTGTTGCCCAGAAATTCAATGTCTCGAGCAAATTTCGCCTACATCTACTTATCAATGCTAGTAAAAAGCTGTATTTCGACATGCGAGACATACTTGGCAGCAGTCGAAGGGCCTGTGTGGTCTTGAAGTTTAATAAGTAGTGGTCAGTTGTACCTGTGGACAAGTGGAAGTCGAAGATGAGATGAGAAATTTTATTATCTTTATCACATACAGAATTGGACGGAAAAGTAAATCACTAGAAATTCGCCCACAATGAGGGAAACATCTACTTCTCTTCAGCTACGGCTTCCTCTGGTCCAGTTGTCGCTTTCTCGTTAATCCTCTCCCACCTCACCCCAAAAGCCAAGAAAAACGCCGCAGCTGTAGTCCCAACAGCGACATACTATAATCTCATCTGATTAGTTCCAAATAACAACAGTACCAGTGAAACAAGAAGCAACACTCACGAAGGTTGAAGTAATAGCCTGATTATAAGCCTCCAAAACCAAGTCCAGCAGATCCGGAAAATTTTTTTCCACGGTATCACGCACATCCGCCATTCCAGCAGCAGAGACCAGTGCAATCTGATCAGCATCTAAACCAGCATGATCAGCTAGTTCGGGAAGTAGAATCGAGCGAAACACAATACCACCAAGGGATTGTGTGATAGTAGCACCTAAGTACTGGAAGAAGAGATTCAATGAAATCGCGGCAGGCATAAGCTCTGGTTTGTCGCGGACAGACTGCTGGATAATGAGCGACGGCATTTGCTGTGCCATGCCCACACCAAGACCCTGAATGACTTGGAAGCCGATCCAGTGGCTGGACGGGGTATGAAAGGTCGAGAAGTGCGTGTATAGCGCTGCGGCGATGCACATGAAGAGGGGGCCGATGTATAGCCAGGGGTTGTAGTAGTGAATTTTGCGTGCTGTCAATGCTGTGTCAGAGTGTGCTCAAGTTTGATAAGGATAGTAAGGGGGATTTGAGTATGTTGAACGCACCAAGGAAACCAGCAGACAAAGTTCCGACGATTTGGGCCAGCACCGAAGCCAGAGTTCGTGTACCACTTTGCAACGGGCTCGCGCCTTCCACTACCTGGAACCACTCGGGGAGATAATAGTTCAGGATACCAACAGATCCAAAGTGGAAGAAGGAGAACAAGACACTGAAGGTGATCGTCCTTCTGGCGACGATATTCCCCGGTATCATTGCGTCCTCGCCCTTGTAGCCTTCCCAGGATACAAAGATCATAAGCATGACACCAGAGCCCACAAAGAGTCCGATAGTTGTTGCTGAGTCCCATGACTCTTTCGTCCCACCCCACATCATAGCGAGCAGTAACATAAAAATAGATGGAATGAAAATGGCACAACCAATGAGATCCAAATCGATAATCCGTTGGGCGGCCGTCCGATCCCGTTGTATGGATGGGGGTCTGAAAAAGCACAGCATGGTGAGCAGCGTCAGAGCACCGGGGGGAAGATTAACCCAAAAGCACCACCGCCAAGTAGCGTACTGCGTAAATGCACCACCAATGACGGGTGCTAGGATAAGGCCCATGGCGAAGCAGCTGCTGCATATGCCGAGCAGCACTGGTTTGGACTTTTCGGGAGATACAGTGAGGACAATAACGAAGCCCCCACTCGCAACCCCGGATGCCCCGATACCGGCAATGGCGCGACCCGCGATAAAGGTGTTGCTGTTTGGTGCGAAGCCGCACACCAGGCTGCCGATTAGGAAAATGGAGAAAAATGATACATAGATCCAACGAAGCGGGAACATTGAGCTGAGCTTTCCTGCCAACGGAGTCAACGCGCATGTTGTGAGCGAGTAGGCAGCTGGATACCAGGCTAATTGCGCGGTATCGTGGAAATCAGCTGTGATGGAGGGAATGGCCTAGGCATGTTTAGATCTCCCGATAGAGAAAGAAGGGGAGTAGGATTAGTACAGTCGCAATGACAAAAATGTCCAAAGACATCAGAAACGCGCCAAAGCATATGCCTACAAAAATGGCAAAGAGCTTGAATCCGTACATCGCATTCGGGTTTGTCTCTGGCACCTCATTGTTGACATCAGTACTGACCGCATGCTGGCCTTGGGTAGAAGTATTAGCATCCTGTCCTGAGTTGGTAGTTATGCCGGTCTCATCTATGGAGGCTGCAGCCATGTTGGGAATATAAATGTTGATTGTTAAACAAGGGGAGTAGAGGCTTCTTATAGTCGAAGAATGAGTCAAATTAATAGCTCACAGGAGGCTATTTCGGGCTCGTGATCGGGCTCGGGAGAGTGCTGGACCGGTGCGATTCCTGCGACACCTGAACGACACCGGTTCCTACCGTACATCCCTGCTTAGCCGCATCCCAAACAGAACTATAAGTCTTAGTGTGGCTTTGCTGGCATTGTGAGAGCGATCTTGCCGCTGGGCAATGATAAGAAGCAAAAGGGAGGAAATACACAGATATATCAAGTCGTAATGCCCCCTCCTATCTCATTTGCCATAGAATTTTTTATGTTATCTCTAGATATGTCCAGACATTTAGGGCACATTTTTCGTCTTCGCGGAAGGTGATCGACGAGCCAGCCAATCAGCGCCAATTTTACGAGCTGAGCCTCGCGGCTTCTTACCCCCCCGCCTGGTATGCATCAGTCCAATTTCTCCTAGCTCCTATCAGCGAAGTCTTACGAAATCGATTTGGGTCGACCTTAGCCTTCTACTAGCAGGGAATGTCATGTACATTTTTACTTTTCTCTCATCTATTCTGTATCTCAAAACAATCCCTCCTTTCTCTTATATTCTTTCATTATATATTTTTGCACCACTCCTTCGAGGACTATGACAAGTGACTACTAGGGTAAAGGCAACTTACCCAAATTTAAGAATAATATTATTCAGGATAGTATCAAGCGTCTGTCACCACACACTTCTGATAGAAATATGTAAAGCCTTATTTACAGAACATTGCAGGTCATCGCTATACCTAAGCTGGGTGAAGTCCTCAATAGTCCTTATGCAAGTAGGTATAACAACTCTATGCTATATGATTGTACCGAAAATACCGTCGGACAAGTTTCTGACTAGGGCTGTAAAATGTGTAATGATAGAAGACCCATTTATGCTATATTATATAAGTTATACAGCTGGGAGTATAGTTAGTAGTTAGATGATGTTGGAATATTTACCAAGTAAACTGAAATAACATGTTGATGGCTACCAAGAAGCAGCGGTTACCCAGGTAGATGTCTCAACAGATGATGAGCACTTGACGTATCATCCACCGTATCCTCCTTTGACTTTCAATTACCCCATCCTTCCTCACATCCACAAGTCGCGTCCCACACATTGGAGCGACGCGTTGCTATTGGCCAGGGATCCAAGTGGATTTTGGCGATTCTTCCAATATCTCGAAGATTCAAGAGCTTCTATTGGCTGGAGGAAATTACGAATGACCGGTGAATGTGTCGGTAGAAATAGTTACCATGGACCCGTGAAGATGTTGTCATTACTAGTTGAGTAATATCATGATATGAGGTGATATGACGGAATTTTGTGGGGGTGCTCCACTGCTTGGGGAAACGAGTAATGCCCGTAATGCTGTCAAATTTCTCGAATTTCGCACTGGATTACGTAGAAACAACGCAAGGTACATGTAGCAAAAGTAGTTGCCGTAGCTAAACACAATAAAATATACGAGAAAGCAAAGCGAAGTAAGACGAAAGGTAAGACTGATATTGCATATGAGTATCGCATTCATCCAGTCACCTGTCTAGCCAGGTATTTGTGACTTACTACTCTCTCTCTATTATTTGTCCATGCTTCTGCTTCTAATGTATTTGTTTTTTCCATGATGTGTGTCCTTCCCTGCTGACTTTTAGGGAGAAATTTATTTTCTTCTCTCTAGCATCTTCAGCATCTATCTCCACGGTCCCGAGGCTACGTGTTCCTGGCTTTGGTGAGGTATATCCGGGCCTGATTGAGTTGCATGATAAAACGTGTTTGCAGCATGAACTCGGCGACGTAGCGGATAACAAGCGGATCTGGTATGATCGAATCGTAGCCAGTGATCTTATCCCCGGGGGTGGATCCACGAGTGGCAGTCTTATCCATCACATCAACACCCCTATTGAGCCCTTCTAATCCTCACGATAAGAGGTTTCTTGTCCCAAAACCACCAAATCCCTTGCTTCTCCCAGGCCGGCACATCCACCCCAGCTAAATCATACCTCCACAACAACCGTGCCAGAATAAGCCGTAGCTCCATCCAAGCCAAATTCTGGCCAGGGCAATTATGCGACCCCAGTGAAAATGGATTAAAAGCTTCTTTCTGCTTGCTCAGATCTTCTCCCAGCCACCGTTTCGGGGCAAACTCACCCGGCCCTGTGAAATTGCGGGGTGCGCGGTAACTAGCAAATGGAGGGATTGAGACAATCATCCCTTCTGGTACAAATTGCCCGGCCACCCTGGCTCCACCCCGCGGGACCTGTCGTCGCATGGCATCTGGAATAGTTGGGCATAGGCGCATGCCCTCCATCAAAACTGCGTCGAGATATGGGAGAGATTTCAGCCGGGTGGCTGTAATATCCTTTTCCGTAGGGAAGGTGTCATGGAGCACGTCTACCAATTCACGGATGGTCCTCTGGTCCCGCAGAAGATAATTGATGACACCAGTGATGATGGTCGTGATTGACTCACTCCCCGCTGCGATGATCAGCATGGAGTTCACTTCCATCTCCTCCTGCGTCATGGCGCCCGATGCCATCATTATTCCCACGAAGTCTGGTCGCGTGGTAGTACTAGGAGTAGTGGTGGCTACCCGCTCCGCCACCTTTTCATCTGTGACCTTCCACATCTCCATAACTGGCTTCAGGGCATCCGCTGGGGTGATGGCCATCATGAAACGATAAAGCAGAGGATAGAATTTCATCGAGCCAACAACGATGGCAGCTTTGAACTGGCTAACTGTTTGCACCCAGGGATGGTACCGCAGACCCTCTAGGCACCCAAATGAGCTACCCCAGGTGAGATCACCTATCACGTCGAAGGCGAGGTAATTGATCCATTCTACAAGGTCTAAATCAGCACTTTGTGTGGCACTGTCACCTCCACTGCTCGTAATCTTTGCGTCCAGCTTAGCAAAAAGTGTATCGATGTACTTCTGAAGTATTGGTTCCTGACAGGCAGCGAATTTCTCTGAAAATCCTGGTGCCAGGTTCTTGCGAAGGCGGGCATGATCAGTCTCCGAGCAGGCAATTAGATTCGGTGCTGTCTTGCCGGGAGGTTGGTCTTTGTATTGATGCGGGCGGACAAATTCACGGTCTGAGGTGTAGATGTCCCGCCAGGCGCGCGCGTCTATGAACGAGAGTTCATCAGGTGCAACACGGACAATGTCACCATACTGGGTGTGGAAGTCATGTATACGATGAGGAAGTTGGCCGCTGATATTAGTGAGAATAAAGGGGAAACGAAATGCACGCCAGAGGGTAGGGCCGGGGTAGCGGGCGAGAGGATGGAGAAAGAGATTATAAATGACGAGGGTGGTGAGATACTGACTTTCTACTTAGTTTGACTTGCACGATCTCCGGGAATTAGAGATGAGTACTTACGAGAATAAGCAGGATGGCCGCAATGATGAAAAGAGCCATTGCTTTGGGGTGAAGAAGGAGAGGGGTTTTGGACGGGGGGATACTGAGAAAAAGAAATTGGCACATACACCCGGCGAGGAAGTGCAAACGCACGGGGTGAGGCAGCCTCTCCGTACACTGGGCATATTCGGTAACGATCGCAACATGATTAGCGAGAGGGAGAGTTTACATCCTTAACTAGCATGAGGGCTACGCATACTAGTTCGTTGACACTAAGTAAGGTCCGGGGTTCGAATGGAAACAAGAAAGTGATGTTGCCCCCACAATAAGCACTAAATATGTCCCTTAACTACGCCGTATTTTACACAGGGTATGCCACAGTAGGTTCAGGACAAACAGCGCCCCAGAACCGAGGGACCCACATACCCTGTGTGGTTCTCGTTCTGACAGCCCAAGCAGAGGGCATAGTAGTTATATTTACCACACAGGCCTGCGACTAGTAGCTAATTAAAAGCGGCCCAGACATGACAGGCTTGTTAGTAGATAGCATCCTACTCCGCACCTGAAATCACAGTTCATGTAATAACCTGCTTGATCAGGCTAGTTGCAGCTCTATGGTGCCAGGGGTACCTCGCTCTAGATTGATCGAAACAAGGCAAACTAGATACCGCCCTTCCTCCGCAAATGGTATCACGTAATGCCTGTCTGTGTCTTTTGCGTATAGTATATCCGGATCTGCTAAGGATCTCGGTCCGCTGGTCCATCGGTGCGTCGGGCGGGAAATTCCTGGACCGACCCTCCCATATATGCTGTCGGAACAAAGAAATGAGGCGAAGTAACCCCTCTATCTCTAGCTAAAGTGCTTCTGATGCGTTAGTGTAAACATCTGCTCCACCACTCGGTAAACTAGTCTTCTTGGTGACCAGTGTAGCCTGGCCTTTTACTCATAATAGCCCTTGTTACTCGCAACGCCTCGTTGCTATTGTCCTCACTACCAATTCCAAGCGCCCTTGACTCTCAATTCCCGAAAACGAAGCAAGAAATAGAATCCGGCAATTCCAACATGACGTCCTTGCAGCCCATCAAGCTTTTCTGGCGAAGTACGTTCTGTCTCCGTAGTCTACCCCTGAGAGTGAATTGAACACTACGTCCAAACAAGCAATGCTAAGAAGCGGGAAAACAAATCCAGACCAAGTACCCAATCCCTCCAAAGTCCTCATCATCTTGGAGGAGCTTCACCTTCCTTACGAATCCTCATGGGTCGAACTCGACGGCCTGAAGACCAAGCCCTTCACCGACGTGAACCCTAACGGCCGAGTTCCCGGTATGTAGAATAAATAGGTTCCTCTAAGACAAGCCATTATTACTGCAGGTCCTGATGAAAAATGGATTGATAGCTATCATCGATCCCAATACCGGTCTTACTCTCTGGGAATCAGGTGCCATTGTCCAGTACCTCATCGATACATATGACAAAGACCACAGAATTTCCTACAATACATTCCCAGAACAATATCAGTTGATCCAATGGTCTTACTTCCAGGCATCAGGACAGGGTCCGTACTTTGGACAATCCGCATGGTAAGTTAAATTATGCCACCCAGCTTTATGCGCCCAATTCTTGATTGTCTAACACATTCATGTACCCATCAATAGGTTCAACCTCTTTCACGAGAAGATCTACGGCGAATCCCCCGAAAGCGCCAAGGTGCGCTACGGTGCTGAGGTCAAGCGTGTAGCGGGTGTGTTGGACTCTGTTCTGAAGGAGCGCGATTGGCTCGTGGGTGACAAGTGCACGTACGCAGACCTGGCGTTCGTCATGTGGAATATGCAGATTGCGTTCTTCATGGCTGGTCGTGAAGGCGATCAGGCGTGGCGTCCCGAGGAGTTTCCTCATTTCACACGGTGGCAGGAAGCCATGCTGGCGAGGGAGTCGGTCAAGAAGGTGGTTGGGGTGTTGATGGATAAAGAGGTGAAGAGCCCTTGATTAGATGGGTGGTTTCGATGATAGGCGAAATACAAGTAGTTGTAATGTTCGCCGGTGATATCTTCGATAAGTCTTGTTGGTTATATATTTCTTTCCTAGGTACTAATGCAGTTGTCGGTGCGATGAACACACAAAGCGCGGTCACAGCTCCTTGTCATCTTTACTAAACAAATGCAAAATTAAGTTCGGAAGGGAAGGGATACGTAGAAGTTGTAATATATAACCTGGAAGAACGAAAGGTACCTGATACTAAGCATACAGGCTCTACTTCTGAGTCATAGACGAATATAACAGGCACACTCATAAAGGTCATCAAAATCCAAATGCCACCCCGAAACATATCATCAAGCCGGAACAACCGACCACCCTTCAGCAGTAAATATTAATTCCTCTCTCACGCGCATCATTTCTGGATCCACATAAATCTTCATCCTCATGCCCTGCTGTCCTAGATTGTACACTCGGAAGATCACATACACCATGTCCATATTATCAGACTGTGTTTCGCCGTTGGACATCTCTTGCATCTGCTATAGGTTAGTAATATGACTGCAATAGATATGTAGCTTCTCTTACCCGTCGGTACTGGTACTTGCTCATGAAGAAAGGCGTACGGTTGTCCGCAGTAGAAGATTTGACTTCTATATAGAACCGAGGTGTCTTTCCCCTCCACACATCATCCCGCAGGTATCCTTTGTCTATAAAAAGGGAAGTGAGAACTCCATCCTGATCATCGTAGGTAATGTCTGCTGTCTCTCGACCATGCCATGCTGTCATGTCGGAATACTCGGGGAGAATTGTGACGAATTTGCGGATCACGCTTTGCCAGTTGTCGCGGGTGAAGACAGGTAGGGGTGGGTCTAGTCGTGAGAGGAGTTCGAATACCTGCTGCGATCAATATATATTCTTATTGGTAAGGGTATAGGTAAGATGACTTACGAATAATTCTCCGGCTGCACCGACCTTGAAGTCCCGTTCAAACTGGTCAGAGGCCCGCAGACGAATGGTCTCGGAGAATGCAACCGATGTGATTGAGTCGTCCAGACCTGCCATGTCGAAGGTACCTTGGCTGGGGAATATGGCATTCCTAGCAGACGCGAGCACAGATGAAAGCAATTGGTAGTATTCGGGGTCGGCTGTCGTGTTTGTATAATTCTGTAGGAGCACTGGAGATGGGCGAGCTACAGGGAGGGACCGCATTGAGGCAGAGACAACAGTAGTTTCTGACACCCAAGAGCCTTGTCTCGGTCGAGGTGGCGTATGTGCGGGCCCATCACGCTGAGGGGTATGCTGGACAATAATTGAGCTGTTACTAACGGCAGCCGATGATAAATCGCTGTGGGATTGCTGATCTTCAATCTCTTGTGTTTGCTGGCTTTCATTCTCTGCCGTAACAACTGTGTCGTCTGCCCTCGCAATGGACATGATACCAGCGAGGTCCAAAAGATCCGAGACGTACTTGCTCTTAGCATGCAGGAGGGTCTGGATGATAGTGACGAAGCTGTCGCTGAACTCGTGGGTAATCTGTGTTAATGGGTTGGTCATCATCCACTGCAGCAGAGCCAGTGGAATGCGGCCAAGAAAACAGATTTCTTGAGTTCGCTTGTCTTGTGGAATATACACAGTGAGCTGGCCATCTCGGTCATCGAGGTGCAATTCACTCCTAGAAACTTCTACCTTGATATCCCTCCCATCCTGATTGAGATGAAGCTCAGATGAGATCCCGTTGGTTTCTTTCATGCTGATTGCATAAAAAACATCTTCATCCTGAGCTACTCGAGGGCTCTTGAGATGGACTGCAACGCTATAGTAATATCATGGTCAGATAAGGCAACAAACATTGTGTTTTGGAAGTACATAACCTACCGAAGGAGCCCGTGTGCCTTTTGAGAAATGTCGCGGTCAGGATTAGATAAATCTCGAGCGTGGTCTCCCCCCACCATTGTGATCTCCTTGATACACAACGATAAGTAGCGGCCATTCAGTCCAGTCCATTGGATGAATGGCTCAAGGCGTGGGACTTCATCGACCTCAAAATCTAGCAGGTTGGCCTTCGAACTAAAGTAACTGAAGAGGTGCTTGCGATCTGCAATTGCAAACGCACTCGCAGCAGTCTGAAGCTGCACACCACCGTGCGGAAACCGAACAGGAAATACAGCATTGTTTACCACCTGCTCAGCAGGTGCTATATCTGCCTGTTGACCCTGGAGTAAAGAGTTCAAGGTCCAAATCGTGCTTTTGACCTCGGCCACGGAAGACGAGCCCGCCCGACCCTGGTCTCGCAGCTTTTCGACGACCATTTGCATGGTCAGGGTCTGAACTTCCAAATAATGGACAAACAGTTCTTGCAAGTCCTGGTAATGGTCATTGAGTGCAATGCGACCAGGAATAGAGGTAGCCGTTGACCAAAGGCACTCCGGCGTGGTGTACCAATTGGGGGGCACATAGATGAGAGCATCTTCAGAAAACCGTTTTCTGAAGGAATAAGCCAAGATCTCTATTATGAGGTAAGTAAACAACTTACCGGTAAGTCGTCAATGTCCTTGGAGACATCCTTTTGAACATTCGATGCAGATTCAAATATACTGAGCTGATTTGGTCAAAATCGCTACACTTGTCAGACTTCAGCTTCGCCAGCTCGACCACGAGATCATCCGCTCTAACATCGGGGATTTTGAGCGTCTTTTGAAAGAAGTCTTTGAGATACACAGCATCTGCCTGATTTTGCCGACAGTATTCTGTAAACAGTGCCTTGAGGGGGTACTTGCTCGCCATATGGTGTGGTGCTTCCCAAAGACAATAATCCAGATTTGCACAGGTATGCGGCGGAATCCAAATGTATCTGTCACGCTTATACAGACCGTCCCTATGTTTAATTAGCAATCTCCAAGAACTGTCTGGGTGGTTAAAGTATACCTAACTGCATCTGCAGCAGACGGATTGGCATGGCATTCCATCTGCATGTGGACATAAAGGTCAAACATTTGGCTCGCTTCAGAGGCCCCATCTTGCAGAGCATAATCTAGATAATTCAGTATGTCGAGATAAAAGTGAGTTTGAGATTTGGGATGACCAAAGTCAAGAGCCTTTGTCAATACTATCCACTGCTGTGTAAGGCTCCCTCCATCCATGGGCTGATCCAATTGCAACCACGGGAAGAACTTCTGGTCCTTCAGGAACCTTGAAACCGTCGCCCTCCGGTCCGGCATGGGAATGTAGGTACTGCCCAATGGATATCTCGAGCCATTTTCGCAGAGTACCTTGATCTTGCGAATCTCATCTACCAGTTCTGGCTGTCGAATGATCCTAGACCCGTCGACCGCCCAACAGGTTAAAAGCAGCCCCATGAATTTTTCCGGTCGGTGCTGCGCGACATAAAGGCATTCTCGCCCTAGTCTGGCTTTTGACAGGCAATCCCTCGGTTCTATGAGTGAGACGGTCTCCCGGACATGGAATACCTGTTGTAGCCACTCGATCCATGTTCGTTGCTCATTTGGAGGACACGATGGAGGATCACGTAAATATATCTCCTCGTTAATGAACGAGACGTTTAAGCCTGGAGCTCCGCCTTGAATGGGTTCCAGCAGTGCCTTCGCACCATATGGATCATCATTGGGAAAGTAGACCGGGTCGACCTTTGGCTGTTTTATCTGACCCTTATGATCGAAAAATGCCGGGCCCTTACCGTTGAATAATTCCATGAGTAGAGCCTGAGAGCTAGTGGAACCGAGACGTTCTGTGAAATACAAGAAAAGCAGACGTTCCCGCCACATGGGAGTAGCAAAAAGCCCCGAAGACTTCTCCTTGATCAACTTCCGAACGAAATCGACAGGTGCCTGCTGGACCCCTAGATCCTTGAACAGCTGTTTACGCTGTGGGTTACTCGCTGCCCGTGTAGTTACAAGGTCAATTCCAAGGCTGCTGGGGATTTCGACACCACTAGTAGATGAAAGGTAGACAGCCCGCTTCTTGATAGACACCCATTTGCCCGTTGCCAGAGGAATCAAGGGCAAAGCTTTGACCTCCTCCATACAGGTATCAAATCCCAAGCGAAAGGAGTGGCTGAGGGCTGCCGCAGCAAGAGAGTGCCAGTCCTCGCTGGTCTCCCTGTTTTTCATTTTGGAATGTGTGGATTGAAGGTCCATCCTAGCCCTTGCAATCATGTCAGACATTGCCATAAAGCTTAGCCCATAATCCATGAGCCGCGCAATGTCTTCTTCCGCATAATGGGCAGAAATATACTGTTCCCGTGGCAAATCCGGAAAGAGAGGGTCTCCAGATTTATCATACCAAAAGTCCCATAGACGCCGCATCTGCTCGATGGGATACCAAAGTCCACTGGTACGGCTTTGTATAATCGGACTCGATATCAATCGTGACTTCAACTCATCCAACAGGTCCACCCAGAAAAGATCCCAATGATGTCCGTCGCGTTTAGGAAGGTAGCGCATCCATGTATATCGTAATGCAGGATGCTTGCACATCTCTAAGATCGCTGTATTGAAGGCGTTGGCGATTTCAGTTCGTAGCTTGCGATTTCGCGCCGAAGAGCGGACGATATCCTGTCGGCTTGCATCGGTAACGAAGTCTGAGTGGATCAAAAACTGCCAGGCAAGGTCAACGCAGACATTCATAAAAAAAGCATCTCACTGTAGAATGCTTACGGTAAACCCCATACTGCGGACGGGAAGGAAGGCAAAAACATCCTGTGGTTCAATGATCGGTACAAAATCCTGGCTCACTGGAAATGCGAGTATGATGTCTGTGTCTGCTCTACTATACGCCAGGGCCCCCTCTTCCTCGTCAGTATATGTACGATTCTCACTTCGAGGAAGGCCGTGCGCGATGTATTTGGTCAAGTGGTAGTTCCGCGCGAGTTCCTCCATTGTACCATCTCGAATGACTGTTTTTCTCAGCACCTTGTGATTTCCGTTCTGGCTGCTAATTGCAAACACCGTTGACGATATTTGCTCTTCATTATCGTCATACATAGAGACTTCTAGCCGTTGGAGGTTCTTTGTGAACAACAGCAGGGTGTCCTGAAGATCATGAAATTGTTGCATAGCGGTTTCACGCGGAGCCGTATCCTCATGGAGATAGAGAGTGATTTGGGTCATCGGTCTCTGCAGCTGTTCCTCAACGTCCTCCCAAATTGGCGAGATCATCCCCATTCCCGAACCTCCTGGCTTATGGCGGAACGAGAAGGAAAAGTCACCAGACTGAATTTGCACTTTCCAGGCTACCATAAAGACTGACTTGAAGCCAATGCCTTTCTCACCAATGTAACCTTGTGCACCTGTCTTGGAGCTCCTTCCGACATCGCAGATCGCCACAAGGTTTTCATGTGTGAAGCCATCCTCATTGCAGTCTACGACAATACGACGCGGGTAGACGTGGAAGGCAAGCGAGGGAACAGTTCCGCGCCCTCTGGCTACCGTGTAGTGATTATCATCGGCGTTTTGCACCAGCTCGAAAACGAAGCGCGCGCTGCTATTGTAAAGGTTCTTGGACAATCTGGTGGCGTTTGTCAGAAATGACTAGTAAGTAAACCCAGGAAGAGCTGCTAACGTCACCACAGAAGACCCAATCATCTCATCTTTCCTTAGCATCGCTTCCTCGACTTGGCGACGGACCTCGTCCGACATCAGACTGAGAACATCTTCTCCGAGATATCCATGTCTCTCGGAGATCCCCTGGACCAACTTGCGGGCCCTTTCTCGGCCCGTGACTGGATCAGACATGTGAAAGCACCGATACTGGAAGCAAACTGCAGATATGATGGCAAGGAGAGAAGGTTCAAGTGAGAAATACGGAGAGGAAGGAGCGCCGGCGGCATTATATTTCACACTACTAAAGAAAGGGGTTTAGAATAACGCTGCCTCAACCCGTCCAAGAGCGGCACCTTCAGACACCCATGGATGAGCGGCACAGCACTTGCCTCTCGTTGTTTCACTAGGCCCAAAGGTTAGTGGTCAGGCTGTTAGTGCTGGGGTCAGTTAGCGCCAGCCTTGTGCTTCGCCAGACAGTATTCTATGCTACAATGTCTCTCATCACGACGCCCAGCTAGTAAATTAGTCTTTGCACTATGGCCATTAGCCTAGACTGCACCGGAATTGGGCGGCTATGCCCCCTCCAACCTAAAGTCTACGAGCCGTTCTACTAGGCTATGTACATAACAACACTATATTGTTATCCAATAGGATTCATCAACTAGTATCAGTGGGCCTCATGTCACTAGTAGTAGTTCCCCTCCTGGTTTGTGTCACTAAAGGGAACCGACTGCGTTAGGGCCACGCCGTCACAGCGCATCGCGCGGCGTTGCGTCCAACCAGATACTCACAGTGTCTAAGCCACACCTTCGGAAATAGGAAGTTGACTGTGATGGGACGGTGATCACCGTGGAGATCACAATAGGAAGTAGAAGGAAATCGAGTTCTTAGAGCAATTCATCCACGCAAAAGCAAGAAACTTCTATTTTATAGCGTTTTCATTAATCTTATCTCTTGACCTACAATATTCTCCCGGCTCAAGAATGAGTGTTTTGATGATGTGTTCACAGTATCTCCCAGCCCATGCTGTGCGGTACCTGTGGCCAAGGACTGTCCATTCATGGGGAGTTACGCCCATTGATCAGTCGCTATGATAATGAATACGGCAGTGCTCTTCAATGCTAAATCCGATCATCGCTCATCTGTCCTACAAAATGCGAATTAAATACATGAAGCGCCGCCCTACCACACATACGAACACCATAATAAAACAGAAGAGAACAAAGATCCCGAGACGAAGCGCTAAAGCGTTTTTAGCCAGTCTGTCTTGAGCCCAGCCCGCAACGGTTCCAGTAAAGGATGTCCATTTGTTGCCAAGACGCAACCATTTTCGCCCAGTCTCCGACTGAACCTCCTCAACTCTGAATATCTGTTCCATCGACTCCTCCAACAGGAGGCCCATCATAAGCTTATTTTCCCTATCATCCTCAACTGTCTTGGCTCTCAGCCTTTCCTCCCGGCGAGTCAACAGTTGCCGCTCGGCTTCAATGTCTCTGAGCTGACAAGCTAGATTTTCTTCCAGAACATTCTTGTTAAACTCGAGTATTTGGATCTTATCCTGCAGATCACTATGAAGACTTTCAAGCTGTGAAGTGCGTAGGGTGTCTCCAAGAGTCTCAGCCAGCTGCTTAGCGATTCCAACAAGATCGCAAACCCCGCGTGCAGTCGTCGGAAGTCGATGCACAGCGGTATGACGTACTTTCACTACTTTCGACAGGATCGACTCGATTTTGAGGTCTGTTGGATGAAGAGCATCTTCTGGGATCTGGGTCGTCCATCGGAAAGGAGGTCTCGTCCACTTGGTCAGTTCAACAGCTGCAGCACAGTCCCATCCGTTCCTTTCAAGATAGTTAGGGAGCCACTTCTTCATAAAGTCGAATATGCACTCCTCGAGGACTTGCTGCACATTGGTCAAGATTCGATGCTGGGCATGATAGGGCAGGTACAACGGGAATAGTGAAGCTGTTGATCTCTCGAGTGATAATGTTGCATCTGTGATATCAATGTTACCAATGACTCTATACGGAGATTGCAATCTCTACGAAAATCGACATACCTGAATCATTTCCCTCTTCAACCTTTACCTCATGGGTGAGGTCTACATCTATTGGTGCAGGGGCTGGAACTGCAACAGCGTCCACTCGCTCGTCTTCCCCTTCACTCCCGTGCTCTTCGTACGATTGTGAAACCACCTCGAGCACTTCTTCATTTGAGCGAGACGCTTCCTGTTCAAGCGCTGCATTCAGCGTCTGCCGTACGGGACACGGGTCAAAGAGACCAGGAAAATATGCTTCAGCCTTGGCACTCGATCCAAAAAGACGTTTCTCTAGAAGAGCTTTAACAATGGGCATAACCCTAGTGATATCGTAATTTGGAATCAGTCTTCTCAAGGAGCTCTCGTGCATCTCCAAGCGTGTCCGGATAGCCTTCGCTTTTCGTATGCCTGCGTGCCCTCCACTGAAGATGGCCCTACAGGCAAGAAAGATTTGTCGTTCTTCAGAAGTTGGAGCTGCTGGCATGACTGGGCTGATGTAATAGGGGCAGATCTGATAGGGCTGGCAGTAATGGGAGGAAAGAAGTATCTTTTAATGAGATCCTGCCGAAGAATAGAATGCCTAGAGCTGAAAAGGTGCGTAGACTGCAGAGAAGAAGCTTTTCAGGCAGGTCACTCCTATGGTAATTAACCTGGCTTATTGCTTCACTATATATTGGACACCCATCTGCAAAGTATCGTCATTTCTTCTCTCCAGCGCCTATGTGTGGCTGGGGAAGTGGCTGTGGCGGACGAGCCCAAAGGGAACCCTAACAAGGCTGTCTACAGTGAGAATAAAGACGTTAACGATATTCTAGACATCGCTGGTCATAATCTTTAAATTGATTGGATGTCAAGAAAATATTCCTTTGCCGCCGCAGCAGGCAGATGCAAGTTGGCGCAGGCGCCTAGCAGGGGTGTCCGGCGGGGTATGTGTACAGCCTCGGGCAAGCTTGCCGGGCAAGGTGGCATAACGGCATTAGTACGTTGGCTACCACAGCCAGAAAAATTTCCAGCGAGCTTGCATCCTTAGCAGACCCAATAGATATCGGACAACATGATCGGGGTTCCTTCCGGTTATGCTGAGCCGTCCAACAGCTATCATGGTGGCACCTAGATGCTATGCTTCATGTACTCCACCTAAGCGCTTGGTTATCTGCTAGTCACTCATATCGATAGGCTCTCAGCTTCTGGGAGTATTTTCTGGAGTCCCTTGAGATACTGTCATGCAATACTCCACCGGCAGAAAGCATGCAAGGCTGAATCTGCTCCAGCTGTCCTAAAATGGAAGTACAACACCACCAACAATTTCGTTGTATAGCTCACAGGGTGCTACTGTAGGCAATAGTATCAGCTGGCGTCTCGCAGCTCCATGCATGGCTCTTGAGCCAGATATGTATTCCATGCTGCCACTCTTACAGGCTGCCTCGTTCCAGCAGTATAGAACCCCGCAACTATTCTGCGTGCCAACACACACCAACATGTCTCGAGCATCGTAGCCTTGCATGCAGCGATAGAGTATGACGTGTCCGTTGCGTCTAGGGGCTGGATTCATCCCCGCGGTAGCACCTGGATTTTGGCCCTGTTTATTACCGCCTGGGAACCCAGATATAAAGGTGTCCACTCAGACTTTTAGAGGCCACCACCGTTGCTTGTGGACAAAATTTCCGACACGACCATCACCATGGCTAAAAGTAATTGTAAAAAGAAGAAGAAGAACAAGGGAATATTCAACACAGTCATTGCTCCTCTTGAGGATGACTTGCCTGAGCAACCCACGGACCTAGTCATTCCAGAGCTCGAAGAGTATGCCCAGGTAGCTGAATGGTAAGGGCCCTACCTCTCTCCTTTTCAATTATCGTACCTTCTCTTCATGGTCTAATAGACCCATACCTTCAGTGCTATTGAGTCGTTGCTAACATTGATGATGTAGTCCTTATACGACTCCCATCATCACCGTCAAGGTCAACGACAACTACTACAGGATTCCACAGCAGTACCTCCGACCATATGAAACTTTGCAATTCGAACCGGAGGTTATGCACAAGGGATATTGGGGCAGTGAGCGCCATCATCACCAGCTGGACATTGAGCCGCAAAGTGCCCATACCTTCATTCATTACTTGTACACTGGACAGTATGAGACACTTGAAACCCCACTCAGCATCCCTCAGTCAGCGGATGACATCCCCACAATACTCAACACCCGTGATAGAGAAGAGTTCCAGCGCGCAGCCTATGTATATCAGGCTGCCGTTCGGTACGAGATCCCCGGGCTACTAAGCATGGCACAGCACTTCATGGCCCGATTCGCCGAGAGATTGTCGATAGATGATATTCTGCGTGCCATAAGATGTATTTACGCAAGTCTTCTCTCGAAACATTCTGGATGCACGTGGCTTGAGGGTTTTGTTCGAAACCAATTGGATGTGGCATTTATGAACACAGATGGAAAGCTGAGACAAATCATAAGGGACTATGAAATTGGAAATAGTGGACACTTCGATACTTTCGTTGTTGATGAGGTCTTGGCACTCTACGAAAGGGAGCAAGACAGGATACACCATTTGAAGAGCTTGGTCATTTCAATGGGAGGTCATGAGCCCGTGCTTCAGGCTGAGCCTGTGCCTGATCCTATACTTGAATCTGAGTGTGAGCCTGAGTGTGAGCCTGTGTGTGAGCCTGTGTGTGAGCCTGTGTGTGAGCCTGAGTGCGAACCTGAGTGCGAATCTGTGTGCGAACCTGTGTCCGAATCTGTGTGCGAACCTGTGTGCGAACCTGTGTGTGAACCTGTGTGCGAACCTGAGTGCGAACCTGAGTGCGAACCTGAGTGCGAACCTGAGTGCGAACCTGAGTGCGAACCTGAGTGCGAACCTGAGTGCGAACCTGTATCTGAGCCCGAGTTCGCGAATGAGCCTGAGCCTGAGCCTGCATGTGATCCTGAGCCACTACTCGAACCCGATACAGAAGTGGCGATACCAGCTCCAGAACCGGAGCTAGAGCAAGATCCAGAGCCTACTTCTAGGCGTATCGTTATAGCTCCTCAAATACCAGATAGCCCTCTTTATAACAACTGGAACAGTCTCTCCAGCAAAGACAGAAAGAAGCGGGAAAAGAGCTTGATCAAATCGGGGCTTCCTATCCCGGGTAAAGATTTCGATATCCCTGTTCCAGATATAAACCCTGCTGTTCCAGAGCCTGAACCTGAGGCTCCGGCGGAGCCCGAGCCCGAGCCAGCTCCCAGGTCAAGTTCATCTTTTGGGTCTTGGGATATGCCAGTCGCAAGCGACAATGGGTGGGGTAACGTTACCCAACATCAATCGTTTGATTTTGCCAAATGGGGGTGAAAGGCAGAGAAGATCGAAACTGGTAGTTATGGGAAATTGATAGCGAGCGTTATTATATTGAGCGAAAGGAGCAGCATAGTTTTCATCATCCCCTTTATGGTCCACAGTGTCTTATTTTGCCGGGATTCGAAAGGCGTCTTTCCTTTGCGTCTGTTAGTTATCATGGTCGAAGAATAATAAAGGGCTGCCTACGACGATGTCCTCTTCATTAAATCATATCCTAAGTTTGATATACATGGTCAAATTAGACTTGTTTGAATGTGGGACTCCCTGGGCTTGGGCAAAGTTCGGTGCAACTCTGGATTATGCCTCTTACGATGTATGTCCGGTGCTCCTCAAAAATTAATTTGCGCTGTGACATTGGTGCTTTATTAAGCATACAGATACATTGAATACGACTTCAATAGCACATTTCCAGCAAAAGAAGCTGGCAATCTGCCACACATGATCTATGTTGAATTCTAAGTTGACGTATCCAAGGATTGAGACTTGGATGGCTACGGGTCAGGCGCGGATAGCGAGGGAGGGGAGTTTGAAGGAAGTGTTCCCGGAAATTAAGCCTTTAACTGCTAGGCAGATGATGGAACAATATAGGAAGACTGGCCTTAAGTGATGAAAACGATGGATTATTGTATCACACTTCGTCTTGGAATACCAAAAGCTCATAGGTCTGGTTATAGGTTCGACTCGGGTCATTATAGTGGTCCTGGACAGTGGCTTTAGTATCTCGAATTTTTGGACGCAGTCATGTTTGGATGAACATGATAATTCAGAGAGCCTAATAGAATCAGAAAGATTGATTCAGATGAATACAGACACCTAGTACCCCATGTTTTAAACAGTATGTTACAGAATTCCACGAAGTCTTAACAACAGCGGAGAAATCCATTTTGCCTGTTTCTAGATGCACTGCCGGGGCATCCCGCTATCTCTGCCTCTGGGTCTCTCCTCCAAATTGTCGGAAGCTCCCTATACAATCTGGAAGCCTACAATGAGCAACCACCTTATAAAAAGGCCGGCCGTTTCTCTCCAGCTATCATACTCTTCAGCACAGTCTTCGGACAAGCAAATATATGGGCTAAAACCCTGGAGGGTCTTCCTACCAGGGTCTTTTCATTCCATCTTTTCTTACGTCTCTGGCGCTCATGAAATCAACTGCATTTGGAGGCATGTAGAGGTAGAAGATCTGTGGGACACAATAGTCGATCTCTATCCCCAGTGGCAACAGTCTTCGAAGAAAATATGAAGATGAAAGCCCCAAGACCAAAACCATGTGCCGATATTGCAGCGACCACGCATGACTGGCGTTCCTCGGTCAGAAAGATATGACCAACAGTGCCTCTTCCACATGCATTATCAGTCATCAGATATGATCAGCCTATATACTATCGCTTCTACGTCTCCAAAGTCATAGATGTGAGGATACAGACTCACATATCACGAATCCTTTGACAACTATAGTACCGGGGATATGGTCAATCTAGGGTTTAACAGTGTCTACACTAGCCCATGTGGGTGCTCGTCCCTTGCTTTTAGAGACAACTGGATGCGACCGTTCTTGATCAGCGACGCTCAGTCTCGCTCACTGTGCCTTCTATGCGTTTACTGAATATATAAAGAGAGATTCTATATGTACAGGTGGGGTTCTCCGACGGTCTGGTCGGAGAGAATTATATATATTACAAGATATGTCACCTTTCTGAAACAACATGCAGCGTGGCCGTCGAGCAGCATACAAGGAAACACGCTCCAGTACCGCGCCAAGTAACCGAGCACGGATATAGCGCATAATTGTTGGTGTGATGCCGAATGCTCCTACTAATTTGCAAGCGTTTCATACTGGTACACCTCCCGGCACCATGACGACATGACACCGTCGAACACAAGGGGTTCATTCAGAAAGGACCAGAAAATATAATCTCTAGAGAAACAGATACGAATTATCCCATGGCTGCTTCGAAATCATTCACACACTGACGACTGACTGCCTGAACAGAATTTCTGAGTCTTGGTAATAGAAAAATAGGCCAGCAAGCCATTGTCTTGCTACAGTGATTCCGAGCAGCCAGTCAGAGACAACGCGCAGCTCAAGGATATACCTTGTCCTGGGCGGTTTTTGTATGATTCCGGCCTCATCTGAGGATACCTGTACTCTCCAGGAGGTTCATCGTGCATCATCTCCCTAGTTGAACCTTAGGATGGATTAATATTGCTCTATCATCCCTGTTGCAGGACTCCTTGGGTGTCCCCGTCTTCTCAGAATCAGGAGTAGATAACGAGGGTGTGGTGATCCTGCAACACTCTGCATGTTTGACTGAGATGTGGACCTACATAAAGCATATTTGCATCGATGAGTCTGTACCGGCATACACTCCGTGCTCGTGCGCCGGTGACTGCCATGACTACTATTTCTGCCATCTATACCGTTAGCACAACTGCTTCTATCACGATTGAAGAGAATACTACCAAGAAGACCAAGAGAAAATTACCATACATCAGGTCATGGTGTATCTTGGTTTGTCAACACTGCTATCAACCATCACTACTACCACTACCACCTCCATCAGTACTGTCACCATATCCTCTCACAGTTACATCTACGTCTTCCCTATTATGGCTACCACCCTTACCCATTCTCTCCGATCTCTAATATTGCTACCTTTCCCCTATCTAATGATTGCCAATGTTGTTCTCAATCCAAACTCAACTATCACCTGCAAAATGATAGAACATCACGTGGGGGTTTAGGTGCGGCTGTTCACATCGACATAAAGACTATTTCGGACCTTGCTGAACCCTCAGCTATGTGCCTGACTTGCACGGGGGGGGTGCGGGATTGTATCTGACTGGATAGACAGAGAGAAGATTAGACCTGAAAGGGAAGATTAGGTAGTAGTAGTCTTCTTGGACTAATTAGGAATGGGGAAAGTGGAATACGCGAGGGTTCGCTTCAATGCCAAAAGTCCAATTCGAAACGGCTTATCTGCGTTGGAGTAATACCCCGTATTCGCGCTTTCAAGTTTATACATGTGCCATGTGACATGAGTAATATACGGCATTACTAGGAAGGACATTACGAATCGGAAACTGGAAGACAAGTCATAATCATGTTATTCTCATGACTGTTACAGATTATCGATAGCATTTGTCTTTTCCTGTGCAGTTACGCTCAAAATGATTAATGCAAGACAGAGAAAAGCCTCACCCCCACCAGATAGATGGATACTAATGCAGTTGTTCGTTCAAAACACCCCCTTCCAGGGAGTCATACTCATGAATGGCCTCTAACTCCTTCTGACTTGGCGGGTTTTCTATCAATTCTACCTCTCGTGAATGTCTAAGAAGTACAAATACGAACACAGACGGATCATAATGTCTGATGCCAAGCACACCTCTCAAACCAGACTGTACCTATATCTGCTGATGCCTGATGGTCATCACACAGGATATGTTGAGGGCCGGGTATACAATCCAAAGCAAGCAGAATATGTGTATTTCAATTGCTAGTGTGGTGCTCACCCCTTGCCCTACTTCAGCGGTTTTGTTCTTCCGTTGAATTGTGGTGTAAAAAATGGGTTATATATAGTTATGGTGATGTTCATTTTCATCATCTACAACAGAGCAGATGGTCTGTGCTATGACCATGTTTCTGGACAGAAGTAGCAGGATATCTTGAAGCAAAAAAGGCATGCAGAAAGAACTCAATGTGGGTTTCGGTATCTCCAGCACGTTTTATTATCAGTGTTCTACGTTTCATTTCTCGAGTGCATGGCAATCAGAATTAAAAGTTTGAACTAAACAGCAACTTATCCCCCTACTTAATGCTAATCGTGTTGCCGCTTTCTAGCCTCGGTCTGCTTCGTCTGCTGTAGAGACATTATACTTACTACTGCCTCGCTCAGCTACATAATCTACTCCCGAACTCATAAATTTATGCAATATATCGGGCTATGACACGGCAGATCCGTTGACCAAAATCAGGCTTTATTATCATAATCTATCATACTTGCCAATACCCAAACAAAGCCCCTAAACCAAACAACAACCATTCTACAAATTCCTACTCCAAACTTCCCCCATCACCATCCAAAAATCAACAACCCTCCCCCTCACCCCCTCAACCAAACCCCAAACCAACCCCCACAACACCCGCCCCTCCTCCAACCCTCCACCACCTGCACCCCAAACCTCTCACAAACCCACCTGACATTCCCACTCTTCCAATACTCCCTCGGACAAACAACCACCACCTTGCCAGGCTCCCGCATACACAGCCCCAACTCCAACAAACTAATCGGCGCCATACTCGCAGGATCAAAGTGAAACAGCACAATATCAGCCCGTTCTCGCTGCTCCATCTCCCACGAGACCTGTTCCTTGAACGGCGGGAAAGATGGGTCTTCGCGCCACGAACTGTCCCAGTCTGGACGGAAGGGGTCGAGGATTGTTAGGTGGATGGTTTGGGGGGTAGTATTGGTGTTGGTGTTGTCTGGGTCCGGTTGTAGTTGTGGCTTTGGGAGGAAGTAGTGGGCTAGGTGGGTGGAGAAGGTATCGCGCCATGTTGGGGGTGGGGTGGAGGTGGTTGTTGTTGGTGGTTGTCTCGTCTGGAGCGAGAGGAGAAGGAGGAGATGCGGATCGGATTAGATGAGTCTCTGCTGGTGGTTGTGGGTGCCGGGGGAGTGCTGCCGGCGAGGAAGATTGTGATGCTGGTTGGTTTGGGCGGGGTGGTGGAGGGGGCGCGGATGGTTTCGATGGTGAGGTTGATGTTGGGGTTCATGATTTGGGTCTGGGTCTGTGTTTAGGATTGCGGAGCGGGATCGGATATTGTTTCCGAGGTGGGTTGGGTTGAGGGGGAGGTACTATTAGATGTTCGTTGTTTGTGGAGGCGAAAGGAGGGGGTGAATCAAGATGACGATTTGGACATTCTGTTGTGAGTAGTTGAGTTGGTATGTGGGTTAGTTGTGAAGGGAAGCGGGGATGAGGGGAAGATGGTACACTATTACTGTTGGTAGCCATATCAGGATGTGATGGTGCCTTTATATATTTCCAAGTGGGGTGTGAGATTGCATGATAATCCTGTTACATTGGAAGTCTCCTGTAGGTTTACCAATCAATGATCTTGAAGATAAAAGGGAATGATAGTACTGTCATTTGTTTTCCGTTCTCTCGAACCTCCTCCCCCATTCAATAAATATTGTTTAGACCCGTGACAGCACGTGAGAGCTCCGTTAACACTGGAGATAACCAAAATAGTCTCCGAACCCGTGTTCCTGCATGAAGATCATCTATTCATGCAGACGTCACTCCCACCTCTTAGTATAGTCTGGTGTGCATGCATTCATTCAACATATCCGTGGAAATGGTTGATCTACGCTAACTTGTTATTGCTTATGTACAGCCATACACTCGGTATGCCAACACCAATATACACAGAGAAATAATACCACACGCATCAGGTATTCCTGATCGAGGCAGCACCTGATCCTGAGGCTGTCAGCGAGTGGATGCTCCCTGGGGGCATGCTTCCAGCTTCTCCGCCGGCGCTTGCGGGATCAAGGAATCGATGAGAGCCAACCTCAAGGTGGTTGCTCTCTCCGTCGGGAGTGGTTTTGATCTCCTTCTTTCCGTTCGCTTTGTAATACAGTAGCATATCCCCAGACGAGCGCCAGATATGTGCCCGAATTGTCGCAAGAGTCATGTTTGGCGGGATCAGCTGTTTTGGTTAGCATTTCCACTTGTACATGGACACTAAAGCTACATACCATCTTCTGGCAATACAACTCCAGATACTCTTCCGGCTTCATCGCATCCTCTTCGGGCTCATCGGGGTTAGGTGGGTCGATCCGTTCTGCAACATACGCAAGGATCTTCTTGGCTCGAAGCATGCGATTGGCGTTGAGTCGATTGTTGTTCGCGTTTGCGCTCGTAGCCGGCCTGTCCTGATTAGTCACAACTCTTCCACGGGTACACTGTACATACTCTGGCTTGACCACAGGCGGCAGAAGATCGTCGTAAGGTTTCAGCGTGAACGCAATCTTCACTGGCTCTTTCAATGGCATTTGATTCTACCTATATTAGCTGGATACCATATCCAAAGGAGGGGTATTCATACCTTGAGCAGCAAGTCCGCAAGCCATAACGGGATGGACTTCTCCAACTTGTCAATCTCCTGACTAATGCCTGCCACAGTACCCCTGTACAAGTCTGAAGCCACTGCCGTGTCGCCAGATTCCTCTTGTATGAATACGGCCGTGCGAGGAGGTATCTGCAGTTCGGGTGTCTCGTTGTCAGGACTAGGAGCAAAGGCAGACACCAACTCCTGCCCCGGGTTGGCAGACAGCCATTCCTCGTACTCGTGCCGGGTTCGCTCGATGAAGCCACCCAGATTAGTTTCAAAAACCTTCTCTTCCTTGACAGACGACTTGTCCGATTCTTCAATCTTTTCTTCTTGGATCTGGGGCTTGGCTTCCGACGAGGACCGGCCCATTCGCTTGGGGAAATCCATCCGAAATTTCTTCCCAAATATAGATCCTCCCCGCTTTCGTTCCTCTTTGTCAGGCTCGGCCGGTGATTGAGGCAGAGCAGTTGGCGTCGGCTCTCCGGGTGTCGCTGGCGCCTTCTCTGTGTCTAGCGGAGTCAGACCCGGGGGCTTGGATGAGGAGGAAAAGTAATCGCTCGACCGGTCCGAGAAAGATGTTCGAGTTAGGTCCGGGTTTTGCTGTGATGACAGAAAGTCCGAAGTCTCGCCGATAGATGTTCCAAAGTAGCTATTGTTGTTGTAGCTATGTGGTGGTAGCACGGGTGACCCTAACGTCCCCGGACTCGTTGCGTAGCCGATACCGAAGCCGGGCGTCGTAGGGCTACCAAGAGTGTCGTATCCGGACCGGAAGGTTGAGAATGAGGCATCTATAGGAGTCTGCAGACCTAACGGCCGCCTTGAACCATCTGCTGACGGTATATCCATTGGCGCAGAGGCACTCGTTGTGGTCAATTTGGCCATTTCCTCCGCTCTTGCAACTGCCATGGCACGATACTGGGCATCGCGCCGAACGTGCTCATCGACCAGTGGTGCAAAGAGCCAGCGCAATATCCATTTGCCTAGGTTGACTGCTCGTCATCAGCACTCGATCACGCAGCAACTATAGAGTTGTTGTCATACTTCTCTGGTCGTCGCGGAACTGCGAACTATCTTCTATGTCGGTTTCGTCGGCGTATATCTCCGCGTCAAAGCAGCGTCCTGGCTCCAGAATCACTGATAACCTTCCGGTGCGGATGTCGATCGTGCACCAGTGAGCAATACTCTCCGTGGTGTTAATCTCAGAGGCCACATCATCCATATGCCGCTTGCCAAAGGATTGAATAGGTTTACACTGTAGCTATCAGCATTTGTTCGGTCCCGACCAAGATCATAGCATACCTTGAGAAGATCCCATAAGACAACCTCACCCGCAGAATCTTGGGTCAAAGTCCGTTTGCGGTCATTTAACATGAAGTGTTTGATCAATCCGTGCTGTCCTTCGATAGTCTCCTCTGGCAAGGACTGGACGGGCAGGGTCAATCCCAGTTCATCCTCCATGTCTGAGCCGGAAGCCTGGCCCTGTGCATGTGATGCGCCGCCTGGCGCCGCGTCGTGAGGAACTCTCGAATTAGGGAACGTAGATGTGTTTGATAGTAAGAGAACCGATTCGTATGGTATCTTCTTGGGCATTCCTTTAGCCGCATCCTTTTCAGCGCTGGACTTTCGTTCCCCTGAAGCTGGGGCTTCTATCTTGGCTGTGGTATCAATATCCCTCCACCGATTGATACTAGACTTTGGTGTTGCTGTCCAGATATAGTCTCCGGCAGCTACGACGTTGATAACGCCCTCGTGCTCCTGCAGCGCTGCAACGCAGACACCTTGCTCGATATCCGCAGAGTGCCTCGTGTCCGTTTTGGCGACCAAGCCGGATCGATCACTCGAATAGAACACCGACAGCTGAGGATGATTCGAATAAAGCGACCAGACACTGTCGTTGTGCATTGTCAAGGTGTGCATGCATCTTCCTGCTGTCAGTGACCAAACCTTGACCGTCTGGTCGGAGGACGCGGTCATAATGGTATCGCCATCTTGATTAATGAGGATATCTCGAATATTATCGGTATGGCCCACGAACTTCGTGATCAATTTTCCGGATTTCGGATCCCACACTCTGACCACGCTTTCCGGTCCACCACTGGCCAGGACGGACGATACAGCGCCTAGTGCATAGACCGAACCCTTTGCCGTCCGATCCTCCCCGCACGCATCGATGCCAAGGACCTCACCGCCGCCATTCAAATCCCATAAATAGAGCTTGTGATCCAGGCCGCCTGATGCCACCCATGAGGAGTGATTTCCGGGGGTTGCCAAGGCTTTCACGTAGTCGGCATGTTTGCCGATGGGTTGCGGCACCTCGGTGATTTCCGAGTGCGGTCGCCATAATCGCACAGTGGTATCGGACGATGCGGAAACGAGCGCCGAGTTGTTCTTAGTCAAGACAATATCGTTGATCCAATGGCTGTGAGCCTGGACTTGGTTTCTGAAGGTTGTCGAACCGGATTTCGACGCCGATGCGCCGGAGAGGGGTCGGTTGAGGTCCCACGAGCATACAACACCATCGCGACCAGCGGAATACCTTTGCAAGAATGTGGAGTTAGAACTGGCGTGGCTTTGACTCGGGAACGGGCGGAGTTTATCACAGCCGGGTTTGCGGACGACCAACTGGCGCAAGAGGACGGGGAAAGCTCACAGGATGGAATTGTCCGTATCGACCGTCAGACCATTAACGCCTAGTCTATGCCCGCCAGGGGCATCAGGCAGAGGGAGGACTAGAGGGAAGAGAAGAGATTGAATGTCAGTCTCGAGTCCACTTTGGCGCATAAGTGGGAGGATCAGATAAGCGCGGAACGCAGCCGTGGTGTAACCAGGGAGTAGATGGCAGTGAATCCCAGCAGACCGACTTCAGACAATAGACATACCATAAGTGACCCTCTGGTGGCTTGGTTTTCGGGCCATGCAGTGGGCGGGGAGAGAAAATGCAGTGGAAGAGGAAATGCGGAGGTGCAAGGGACGATGCGGAGGCAGAAGCGACGATCGCTCAGGCACGCAGAGAGAGAGGGGAGGGGAACATTCCCCGACTGGTAGGGAGTGGAAACAGGCCCGAAGGGGAAGAGAGCACAATAAGGAATGAATATGACAGAGAGCAGAAAAGGAGGGCGAGCAGGACGGGGAGAAGGAGGAGAAGGAAAAGAGGGAAGTTTGTTGCCTGGAAGGATGGCGGATGGGGGATGGAAATGGGAGATGTTACTGACGATGGGCTCACTTCGTTCCTTCCCTTTCTGGCGGGAGGCACGAGCCCCGGCTTCCCTCGGGGATCTGCTCATCTTCCACCTTCTTCCTTTCCCCCCTCCTGCTATTGATCTTCACTCGATCTACTGATGAGCAGCCATCCAAATACGATGTGGAATCTACAGGGCTATTCCTATCTTCCCTCTTCTGTTCTCACTATGCTGAGAGTCGGATTTGAGTTCCCAGTTACCGGCACTAATCTCCACCATGATATCACAGCACTTGAACTATATAAGAGAAGCCAAATGGCCATCTAGACATCTCAAACCTTCACTCAATGACCAAAATCAATCAACTACTCAATGCGGCAATAGTCAAGAACCTCTTTCTCTTTCTCTGATGTCATCTCAATCCACCTTTCATCCACTATACTACTTACATACCCTGCCTCAACCCGTTCACTAACAAACCGCATACTAACTCCACTGAAAACCACCTCACAGCTCACATCCAACAGTCTCCAGCACTCTGAACAAAGAACCACCTCCATCCACATCCCAACACTACACCACCATAACCATGACCAAAACCCACCCTCCATTCCCCCCACCCTCCCAACCCACCAAAGAACCCCCCTCTGCCACCCAAACTATCCAATATCTCGACCTCCACCCACACCCCGAAGGTGGCTACTACCAGGAGACCTTCCGCCATCCACAAGAAATCCCCATAGCCAACGGCACGGCCACCCGCTCCGCCAGTAGCCGCATCCACTACTTGCTGACGCCGGGGTCGCCGCTCGGCGCGTTCCACCGGAACAAGAGTCGAACCGTGCATA